TATTTTGAATCTGGATCCTAGTTTTTTTATCCAATTCTGACGAGTTTTGTCACAGCAGCTCACGTTATGGCCGGAAGTATTCAATTTCTTCCTTATGATTTCAGTTGTAGGAATCTCATTGCTTTTGTAACAGTCTTATATTGTTTTTTTCAATGATTCTATTAGATGAATATCTGAAGGTTTTGGTAAACCTGTATCGCATCGCGTCTTGCGTTCATAAGGTCTGTTTTTGATTATTTTAAGACAATTCCTTCCTTATGATTTCAGTTGTAGGAATCTCATTGCTTTTGTAACAGTCATATATTGTTTTTTTCAATGATTCTATTAGATGAATATCTGAAGGTTTTGGTAAACCTGTATCACATCGCGTCTTGCGTTCATAAGGTCTGTTTTTGATTATTTTACGAACAGTTGAGGAAGGAATTTCGGTCAAATCTGATGTTGTTTGTTTCCCTCGAAACCAAATTTGAGATGTAGATTCTTATATACATTGAAACATACTCTCTGTGTTTCAATATTCCAATCCATTGTTCACTACAGTGGAAAAAGTCTGTGTTGTTAATACACTCGTTATTACTATTAGTACTTGTCCAAGGACGCCACATTTTAAACAGATAACAAAAATTTTGAGTAATTATAACTGCACCAATATTGAATTTTAACACTCAAATCGCGATCAGTTCCTGAACTGAACATAACCACGATAACTATCCCCGCATTCCCGATTTCTATTCGTCACCATAACATGACTTCAAATTTAATTTTATGACTTTTCAGTCAATCATAAAACTCGGTTAGTAAAAATTATCCAATACGAACCGCCAATTCTACGGTCCACGTGGACTACTTCGCAGCCGGTTCATTTTTATACATTGGTTTTTTTGGCCTTTGAGAGTGCCGACAATTTTAAGTATGCACAATACCGTTTACTTTGACTATAACTACACCGATCTGTTAACCAAGCGAAATTGATATTATGTAAGATATTTTAATTACAAAAGCAATCGTATAAGCTTGCCTGTAAAAAATCGTTCATGAAATATTATTGCCAAGCTACATACTTCATAATTTTTAACAAAATTTTTAAATTTTCCTTTGTACTTCTTTTTCAAAACTGTAACTTTGTTGTAACACGTGGAGTGATAATCAACAAAATCCAACGATTCTTTCCCTAATTAAATAGGTTTTTCCATACTTAAAATTTTGTTTTTTACGAAAAGCCAATTTTAAAGAGCATATTTCAAATGAATTTTCACCAAAGTCAACCCGCTTGGGAAGGATGGATAAAACATGACGGTGGAGGAGGAACGAAGGTTCGCACCTGGGTTCGATCCACCATTCCTTGGCCCTCAAGAATGTTAGTAGTATGAACGGGATAGGTTCAATTGTAGGAAATGAAAGAGGCAATGTAAAATTCATGAATGTGTATGACGAGCCGGGTGGAAGGAGAAATGTTAGAATGGTTGGGATTACAACCATTCGAACAGATCAGGTTTGAGAATCACTTTAGAATTTTAGGTGATTCTGATGACAACTAGAATGGTTGGGATTAGGAGAATTTTTGATGAATGGAGATGAATGTTGCATAGAGTGGTCACATCACGGATAAAAGGGGAGAAGACGTGCTAGAATAGGAAATGGAAAGGGGGTACATGGTAGAAAATGACTGCGAAACTCCTGCCACTTTCTCCAGCAACAGGGATGAAAGTTGGGTCGATGTGGATGATTGAATTTCACTTGATGGGGTTATCAAAGACGAGAAGGGTGATAGTAACGAATATAAGAGCAACCGACTGGGTGGGAATGAATCGGATGAGTTCCGAATACCATCCAGTAAGGTTGGATACGATAGAGGAGATCGACAGGGAAGTTGCACAGCTTGAAGAAAAATTGAAAGAAGCGTGTAAGAGATATATACCTAAAAGTGGAAAGATGTTTGAAACGGAGAGGGAATGGTGGAACGTGGAGCTGGAAGGCGCACGAACAAACGTTAGGAGAAAGAGAAGAGAAGCTTAGAGTATGAGATATGGGGAAGAAAAGAGAAGAAGGATGAGTGAGTACAGGAGAGAAAGGAATAGGTATATACGAATAATAGAGAATGCAAGAATTGTATGGTTGAGGTATGCTGAGTATGCTGAATAAGTACTTCCCCAATGATGGTCCTTTGAGCGACACTCCCAACAGAAGGCAAGGGAGGGAGGGAGGGAAAGAGGCATGGGGTGAGGAGCAGCCGGAATTCTCGATCGGGGAGCTGCGAGCGATAGCTGAGCAGCTACTCTACGGGAAGGCGACTAGAGTGGATGAGGTACCTAACGAGATTTTTCGGAGGGTAACGGAATGGAAAGGCGAATGCATGCTAGAGCTCTTCAATTCCTGTCTGGGGAGGAGCATTTCCCAGAAGTATGGAATGGGACAAAGGTCGTATGGATACCGAAGAAGGACGGAAACCCCAGGTCCTTCAGATTGCTGACCGGCATGGGGCTGATGTTGGACAGGCTTCTTAACGGTAGAATACAAGTATGGTGCGCAAGAGGGTTGAAGTTCTCGCCAAACCAATTTGGTTTCAGAGAGGAAATGGATACCGTGGTGGCTGTTGAAAAAATAGAGTAAAAGAGAACAAGAAAGCGAGGAGACACAGTCTGGTTGTGACATTGGACCTGTCGAACGCCTTCAATACCGTGTGGGCATCAGCAATTGAGAGATGCATGAGAAGAATGGGAATGCCGGTGAATGTGGGGAAGACATTTTGAGCTTCATAGGAAGAGAACTGTCACCTGTAGGACGGTCTCTGAAACAGTAAACAGAGGCTCTTCGCAGGGATCTAGTCTGGGATCAACCCTATGGCTGTTAGTGATGGAAGAACGGTTTAAAGAAATCCGAAGCATAAAAGACAGACAAGGCAAAAGTAAGATTGGGGTACAAGTGCAGGCCTACGCGGATGACCAGCTGGTCATTGTCGAAGGTAACTCGGTCAGAAGCATAGAGGATGAATGGAGGCTAGTATGGAATGAATGCAAAGTCTGGGAGGAGGAGATGTGGCTGAGATATAACGATAAGAAAACGGAATGCATGTACATACCAGCCAACAGGGATGAAAGGCTCCCGGTTATAAGTATGAATGGGAGGGTGATAGAACTATAAATGAATATGAGATACCTCAGAATTGTAGTAGACTCAGGGTTACTCTTTGTAGAACACCACAAGGAAGTGAGGAGAAAACTGAGTGAACTCGCTGGGAAATTGAGAAGATGGACCGGGAGGAATATTGGGCTGAAGAAAGAATGCGTGAGGATGATCTATGAAAGAGTAGCAAAACCTGCAGCAGTGTATGGCGTACAAGTACGGGGGATTAGGATGAATGATAGCAGAGTGAGGAGACAACTGAGAGCAGCACAGAGGCCCTTTCTTAGAGACTCGTGCGGGGCGTATAGGACGACGCCGTCGGCTGCGCTCAGTCTAATCTCAGAAATAACCCCGCNTGGTGCACCACTTAAACATTTTTTTCTGTTTTAATTTTTTTAATGGTATGACATTGAAAAATACATGTATCTCTCAATTTTTACCCATTTATCACCAACCCCTATTTTTTAAAAGCCATTTTAGTAATTTCATCAATTTCCATCCTGCTCGATAAGTGATCAATTATCGTTTTTTTCGTAAATGTTTCTCACTCTATTTCGATTGAAATTATTATCTTGCTTCGGAATTTGAACCCGCCACGGCTGTGCAACGGTACGCGATTAGTCATTCAAAAACTAATGAAAAACGTTATCGAAGCCAGCATTTTAAATAGCAAGTTCCGAGATGAAAATATATTAATACCACGGATTCCTATTATACGTACAGATGTGCCAATTCAATTCAAACGTATTCAGTTTTCAATTAGATTGGCATTTGCAATGACCATCAACAAATTCCAAGGCCAAACGTTGTCTATTCGTGGCTTAGATTTGAGCACACCATGTTTTTCACACGGACAATTATATGTGGCATGCTCTCGAGTAGGTAAACCATCCAGTTTGTTTGTGTTAGCTAAAGAGGGGCTAACAAAAAATATTGTTCACGCTATAGCATAAAGAGATTGATGTTATTTGTTAGTGTAACTGTCGTAATTAATTGATGATATATAATTTTAAGTAATAAATTGTAATAACTTGAAAATAATAATGTTTAGGGTTTGTTATTTTCATATTCCCTCATCGTTCACAGCGCTCCATGCATATTCCACGCGTATACCACATCCTTACACACTTACAATAAGTTAAGTTATTTTTTGTCTACACTAGAAATTACCTAGAAATAATTTACATGGCAAAACAACGTTTGCCGGGTCAGCTAGTTTTGTTTAAAATCTCACAATATACTTACAATTATATAATAATTGCATCTATCCCCCTTACAACTGGTCGGTGTCGAAGCTTGGCTTACAACAAATCGCCTTGGGGATCCCAAATTTTCAAATTCATCAATTGAGTCTTCTGTCGATCCCACAGTTGACATCTTTGTGAGGATAAATGTCATTGCCTTCATTATTTCTGGCTTATCCTTTGAGAACAGTGAAGCCAACGCTACATTCGGGGTTCAGCATAGCACCGCTGATGAGATCTGCGGCGGGTCGAAACAGCTCTGTCTAGTGTTAATCACGAATGCTTCGTTTTTGAAATTTAGTTTCAACTAGTTGCCTCGCAGAGAATGCTGCTGTGAGAGACAGAGGACAAAGCCCATTCGGCAGTCGATATTTTGGATTGATGTAAAGTTTTGGTTTTGGATTTTCAGTCAGTATCTTGAGTTTGCTATAGATCGCTTTGGGACTCCAGTTTGAACTTTGATATCAGTGATTCTTTGATATCTGTCTATTCTATGGATGACATCTTCGTAATAGAAAATGGCATCGCTTCCACTTACGTCTAAAGAAACTTATTTATAATAAAACACGTGTTGCGATTTTGTAAACTGTTTTGTAAAAATCTCGCAATGTAGTGTTATCAAATGCATAGCAATAATCAACAACTAATATTTATTATATTATCATAAGAAGTTACAAGTTTTGTACAACAAATCAAAATGCAATCAGAAGTAATATTCCTGTGAACCATATATCAACCCTTCTCTATAAAGATTCATAATAGAACTGGCAATTATTCGAGCGGTTTTCTTCAAATATCCACCACTGGTCAACATCACTATAGGAATTTTTCTGGAGAAAGCTTCTCTAAAAACAATTTCGTCTCTCATAATGATTCCCTGAAAAATTGATGTTATCATTGTTCATGTAAATTGTTTTGTTTCATCTGCGCCAAATAAAGGAGCAGATAAACTTCAAAATCCAATTGATTTAAGATTTTATTATAAAATTTACGTAACTATTGAACAAATTCTGCTACAGAAAAGTATTAACAAACAAAATACTGGACAGTTACTGTGATCTGTAATTTATAATAAGTTCAAGTTGAAGTTTTATATACTCATTTCTGGAAATAGATTGAAAGAATATATTTTTTTATTTCCACAAAGACACTGGCACCGAAGATCGTGACTTACAAGACTCTGAATCAACGGAGCCACATAGTTGTCATTTTCCATTCCATTTCCATTTTCCATTACTTTAGGTTTTGTTTAAATATTGTCCAAGACAAGCACTTTTCCCAATCGCCAGAAATGCAATACTCTTCTCGATGCGTGTTTCACCAACCATGTTAGCGGCGTCATGGGATCAAGTTTTTTTCAAGTGCTTTTTTGGATTTATTCATTTCGAACTGGAACTTTTTTTCTCTCGAATATTTTTTTTTCTATGAAAACATTTTCAAAGCACTTTTATACATAGCGTTCCAATGGCGAAAAAAATATTTTTTCAAATGAGATTTCAATAGTTATTGATGGAAAACTATTTTTTAATGAGACACTCTGTATATTTCTGCATATTACAATAGAGCTTAAAATCACTTTTTCGAAAAAGTACCACACTAGATGTTTTGCAAGAGTCATCTTTGAAATACAGAGCTTAAGTTTTTCATGTAGACTTTGAATCGCACACTTTGATCAAGTAGGGTTTAGACGACGCCGCGACGAGGCGATATAACAGAGAGGAAGTATTCAAGAGTAGCTATCAAATGTTGAGAAAGCCTTTCACACCATTGATTAAAACGCATAATTTTAATAAAACTGATAACAATTTATACTAAATTATTCACTATTAATAAATGAAACTTCAACGATAATACTAATAATGAGATAAAGAACAAACAAATGAATATATTATTTCATAAAAGGTGTTCGAAATGTCCACTATCTTCTCCTACACATAGGCGATACCTTTTCTGAACGTTTTTTGCCGAATTATTTACTTCAATAGGAGTGAGAGAAGCAAAACTTTGCATCATTGCCGCTTCTAATTCGCATTTAGAATTGGTCGACAATTCAAAAATGAGATATTACAGCCTTCGCTATATGTGAAAGTCCATAGGCGTTACGTCCGGTGACCTGACCGGCCAACAGTTGGGTCCTTGGATGGCAATCCTATTATTACCAAAATTTGCAAACAAAAAAATGATGACAATTGCAGTGTTGTGAGACAAAGCCTAATGAAAATATATTTTTCTGAGCTCCATTATTGGAAATTCATCAACAAGAGGTTCAATATTTTACCTTAAAATTTCTGAATTGTGAGATTGCCATTATAAAATTACGGGCCGATAATTTTACTCTTGAAAACCCCTGCCCACACAGTGGACTTCACTGTTCCACAATAGAACCCAAGTATGAGAATTGCAGCGTTTAAAAATGCCGGCACTGCTCGCATAAGCTTCGTCTGTCCAAAAACGATTAATCGAAAAATAACGCACTTGGTTATAAATTTTCAGGAACTACTGGCAAAAAGCCATGCGGCGTTCAAAATCATCTGTTCTGTTGATATTTTCAAATTTCGCGTTGACGTTTTGAGATTATTTTCAATAGCTCCTAAAAAGACTATTTCTTCCAACTCCTTATCCCCATTTGATTCATATAATTTTGGCCTTTTCTTTTCAAATTAATCACCATCAATTGTTATGAGTGTTAGACTTATACCTTTCCTAGATGTTAATAAGATTATTGTAAACAATCAACATGGTTTTCAAAAAAGAAAGTCAACAACCACAGCAATATTCAGTTTTGTTGAAAAGATTCTATATCTGCTCGATAATGATTCAATGACACTTGGTGTATTCCTGGATCTATCAAAGACCTTTGATTGTGTGAGCCATGCCATTCTGCTACAGAAATTGGATGAAATGGGTATACGTGGCCCGTCACAGGATTGGTTTAGATCCTACCTCACTGGTCGCACCCAGAGGGTATGCATAAAGGACAATTCAATAGATCACCTCTCAGAAACTGCTTTCAATATCAAGGGGGTGCCACAGGGCAGTATATTAGGTCCAATCCTGTTCAGTTTATATGTAAACGATCTACCATATATAGTCCATGATAAATCCGTTATATTAACAAATTATGCCGATGACACAAACGTTCTAATTGCTGGAAAAAACTATCAAGAGTCAAAAAACAAATGAAACTGTACTCCTTCTATCAGAGTAATACTTAAACTGAGAAAACAAACTGCATACTTTTTAATCAAAGTCATAATACACAAGATCTGCCAACACACATCGAAATCGATAACACGCAAATCTCCTTTGTCAACTCCACCAAATTCCTGGGGGTCATCATTGAGAAACACATGTGCTGGATGGAACACATTCAACTGCTCTACGGCAAGCTTAGTAGAGTTTGCTACTCTCTGAAGGAACTCCAAAAAGTCTTCAATCAAACTACCCTACGATCGGCATATTACGGTCATTTTCACTCCATCATGTGCTACGGAATTATATTCTGGGGTGGCACACACAATCAAGAAGTCTTTATAATCCAAAAGAGAGCAATTAGAATTCTAGCTTGACTAAGATTAAATGAATCTTGTAGAGGATATTTCAAAAATCTGAACCTTCTAACTCTAACAGCTGTAAATGTGTTCGAGTGTCTGACCTATATGTTTTAAAAAATAAATCACTATTCATACCTCATGGAAATGACCCCTCGCACCACACAAGAAATTAGAATATATTCTGCTACCCTCAACATAAAACTGCACTCCTAGAAAAAGGCTGTTTTTATATATGTCTAAAATTTCACAACTTACTTCCTCAAAACATAAAAGACATTAAAGTGTGCAATGTATTTAAACACAAACTAAAACAAATGCTCATTGCAGCAGAACCATATGGTTTGGAAGATGTGGATGAGAGCACTTTCAATAGATAACTGTCTCAAGCAATATGATATTTGTTGTTCGTAATCCTTTTAATATTTTTTAACAAATCACTTTCCGATGTAATGAGATGAAAATGTACACTATTCCTTTTGACTTGTACTATGCAAATTTTGTAATTTGTCCCTTGTGCGAAATGAACATATTATTATTAATTAGGTTATGTCGCAATCTTGCAAAAATGTCTTTAAAAGGTTGTCTCTTCTCTAAATACCTCTCGTGATACAAACTGCTTGCTGCTTCTGCATTTTCCCCGGTTTGTATAAAACAGACTATCATATCCCATTTTTCATAATGCTCATACTTCATTACGAATGTATTTGAAAATTGAACAAAAACCACAACTTGAAGAGCGTGTTTACTGCTTAATCAAAACTTGACCCTACCAGTAAAGATTTGTATTCTCTTTTATCGCCGTATCATCCAAAGCCTACTTGATCATAGTGGGCGTTTCAGAGTCTACATGAAAAAACCTGAAAGATCTGTAATTCAAAGATGACTAACAAAACATCAAGTGGGCTCCATTTTTAAAGGTAATTTCAAGCTATATTGAAATATGCAGAAATATATAGGGTGTCTCATTAAAAAAAGTTTCCATCAATGACTATCTGTCTGTTTAAAATCCGTTTTTCCGTTAACCAGCTGTCGCACCCCTACTAACGACAACCCTCAGAAGTCGAAACTTTTGCGAGCTAAGGATTAACGAGGTCTTACCTTTTAACGTGTGATTCCTAACACGGGTTGGACGATAGCAAGTGAAGATCGATCGTTCTAGTCAATTCGAGTGAGTGAACAAAGCACCCACGCCGAACCGCTTGGCTACCGACCGACCACTATTAACATCTCATTTGAAAAGTTTTTTACACCATTAAATTCTACGTACAAAAGTGCTTTGGAAATGAAAAACGTTACAGTAACTTTTGAAAAATGCACATTTTTGACAATGCACATTTTCGAAAAACATGCTGTAACTCAGAAACGATGATAGACATCAATATGCGGTTTTCACCATTAAGTTTGTCATAAAATTTGACCCCCAGACACAGCCATCAGTTTTCATCTATCTAGTTTGAAAACAAAAGTTTTCCTTTAAAAATGTTCAATTTGGCTCACTTTGTACTACCCTGAAAATGTTTTATGGAGACCTTCAGATCGTGCTCAGTCACTTCTGAATTCACTGTACTTCCTAGCTTACAGTATTCTTGTGTACTCTTTTGTTTATCGATCATAATATTTTGAAAATAGTCAACAATAAATCAAGAAATCATCCACAGGAGACCTGTACAGGAGGAAAGCTCACCCTTTAACGTACAATCCCAACCCTTAGTTTGAAGCCCTAAAAGCTGAACTGTAGCCATCATTTACACTAGTTACTATTTGCTATATGAATGCTACCATTTTTTTTATAGAAAATGTAGTTGAGGTTATGCAAAAATATGGATACATCTATTATGAATATACAGAGTGTAACTTGACTTCTATTTCTGGAGATGATTCCTAATCATACCTTGTGAGAAAAGGGTCGAGAAAAATATGTCCTGAATCTTGATACATTTCATAGCAGTGATGAAGAGCTTACTTTAATGTAATGGGATTTGAAATAGTTATTTCAGTGGCGTCGCAGAGGATCACCGATTGATATTATGATGAAAATCATTGTGTAACACTAATTTTTGAAGTTGGATATCAACATCAAATTAAAAAATTACAACTTGATAGTCTCGTGGGTTTTCATTGTATCGTGCTTAGTTTTCGATGGAAATTTTACAGTAATTACATGAAAGCGAAAAATAAATCTGAAATAAACCCCCACGCCCATCTCAACTCTCGACTGCTAAACTTTATAAATTCTTCAATTCTTCTTGTTTTTTTTATTACTTGAAACAGCAATGAAAGGTATTTATAGCGGGTGCTCAAAATGCAAACCTTGACTTGCAATATAAGGATCAATTCTCCTCATCGATTATCGTACACGTCTATTTCTTAAGTCATTCACATCCATCAGTAGCGTCGCATTAACATTCGATTCGAAAAGTCCCCAAAAGAAAAAATCCACGGGATTCATATCCAAAAATCGTAGTAACCAAGGCTGAGATCCACCTTACGGCCTATGTTCTGTTGAACTAAAGTGTTATTGAGATGTCCACGAGCAATACGACTGAAATGGGCAGATGCATAAATCACAAATTTTCTGGTACTACCGAAGGTACATCTTTTGATAGACCTGACAGCGAGTCTTCCAGAAACTGTCTATACCTACGTCCCACCATTGAGTGGGGAACGGAGAAAATGTGGCCCTGTGAGGCTGTCACCCGTAACTCCAGCTGATTACCACTTCCTACAATGGTATGAGAATTCTCATAAGCTGATCAAGATCACTATGGAATATTCTGAAAACATCCCGTGAAAAACTTGTCTCATCTGTGAACAAAATGGCATAAGTATTATTGTTTGGATCTGTCTGTTTGGATATCGTTCTTGATGATTTCGGTGGGATTCTGAAACATTGCCACAAGCAAGCTCATAAATCAATAAATCGCATTTAAACTTATTCGGTGTTATTCATACTCATTCGATAAGGAAGTGTTTAGTTGCTAAAACTATTTTATGGTAAATATGACCTCTATTGATATGAAGATCGAAATTCTGTGATCGCTGCTACATTTTCATTCTACGAATGGGAATCTTAGTGGAAAAGTACTTCAGTGTGATACGTGAAATTTTGTGACGGACTTTTCAACAGTTGATGATATTTATGATACTTCAAGGTACAACCTTCGTCCCCACAAACAACGGAGATACCACTGATGTCTGCCGCAGTAACGGACGAATCGTTTGATAATGCACCCTCCATTCGACTATGGCTACTAATAGTGGTAAGATAAGGTAAGGTCAGCCCGCAAGGGTTTATTGTGGCTCACATCTATTCACACTCGACCAAATAAACCCAGGTTCTTAACGAAGCCGATTAGTTTGTATGGTGAGTAGTCTTTCAGGTCAGATGGTGAGAGTACGGCTCTGCCGAACTCTTAAAACCTGATTCGGACCCCAGCGGGGCATGCACAAAGTATGTGCTGTGCTGATTCATCATTTTCCAAACAGAGGCGAGATACAGTATCATCCGATAGTCCGTGTCTCTGCATATGATTATTTAAAGGGCAGTGACCTGTGAGAAGGCCTGTTAGACATCGTAGTTTATCCCTACTGTAGTGCAACAACTGTTTAGTATCAAGCTCGGAAGGATGAATGAACACCTTGGAGTGAGCCAATCCTGGAAGATTCTGCCAGAAGTCCATAAATCTTTTTGCCATCCAGGTGTTCAATATTTGTTTGGCAAAGCCTAAAGCGGTGCCAATGACAGGTTCTGGTCCGTCAGTGTCAACCAGCAGTCTGTTTTGCTCTGCATTAAATTGATTTGTGCAACTGGAAATATGCACAAGTCTATATGCAGTCCATCTAACCTCTCTCCAGAAAAATGTGAAGAGGATGTAGATTTAGAAGGATCTCCATGGCAGCTGACGGTGTGATACTGATGGCACCACTGCCAGACAAGCCTGTTTCTGTAAGCCAGAGAGCTTCGCCTGAGCCGTTTTCTGTAAAGCCTTCGGCCACCAGGCAATTGCTACATAAGTGATCATTGGTCTGATAATCATCACATAAATCCAATAGATTTGTTTGGTACGTAAACCCCAAGTTTTATCACAAATTCTTCAACATGTCCATAGGGACAGTCTAGCTTTTTGTAAAACTTTTTCCAAGTGAGCGTTCCAGGTAAGTTTTTTATCAGGGACAATGCCAAGATATTTCACCTCCGTTCCAGATCAAATGACCCCATAAGTGAGGAAATGTGACGTTAAATCATCCTATTTTCTCCTCCTAGTCAAGGGGATTTTCAAAGTTTTGGTGGGGTTAATAGACATCTGCTTCCTTAGGCACCCACTGTGAACAACGTCCATCGTGCTTTGGAGGATCTTACAAGTTAGCCTTCACGACGTGTGCCTTGCCAAGATGACAAAGTCATCTGCATCGGCATGCAGATCTACTTTTCTTCTGTCGAAGGCATCAAGCAGACTATCCATCAGGAACGATCACAAAGGGGGATATAGTACACCACCTTGAGGGCAGCCACTGGTGACCCTGAACTTAATGGTCCTCACTTAGAAGAGTCGTAGTTGCAGTTCTGTTTGCCAGCATGGCATAGATCCAGCCAGTTATGGTCGATTCTATACCTTTCCTAGCCAGAGATGATCCTACAAATTTAGGTAGTGCATTATCAAATGCTCCTTCAATATCGAGAAATACAACAATTGCAATATCCTGCAATTGTTGTATTTTCTTCACAAGGTTGTTCAATTCTAAATCTGTCGATTTGCTGGTTTGATATGCATACTGGTAGTTATTCAGGGGGCTGCATATAATGACACCCTTCTGATATTATGTCCGTCCAGTATCCTCTCAAGTCCTTTCAACAGGAAGGATGTAAGTCTTATAGGTCGTAACAATTTAGGGTGTGGGTCTTTCCAACCCACTTTGCGTACATATACCACCCGTGCTACCAACCAACTGGGTGCGTGGTATATAGTTCCACGCCAGACTAGCTCTATACAATTTTATAAGGATACGTAAAATTACTTTTAGGAGAAGATCTGGAAATATACCATCCTCTCAAGGAAATTTGAGGAGCTGAAAAGACTTGATAGCCCATTCAACTGCCGGTGCTGTCATAACATTCTCGACGACCTCCTAATCGTTTTTTTTGGGGCGTTAAGCGCCCTCATAGACGGGAGGTCTGTTGTTATCAAGAGTCAGATTACCAAAAGCTTCAACGTTTTTTTTAATAGAGGTTGTGAATGTTACGTCGGGTCGTTTTAGCGACCCAATTTCAGCAGTCGGCTCTCTAGTGAGAATCTTGTGAATTCTTGTACTGCGAGGTAAATCAGAGAAACTCTCACAGAACTTCCTTCAAGACTCCCATTTTGCCTTTCTAATTTCTTTGTTGTATGTCGTTAGAGTAGTTTCATAAAGTTCCCAGTTACCTGGCTCTTTAGCTCGACTGAACAATCGTCGAACTTCTTTTTTTCGTTTTTCTAGGCTTTTATTCCACCAAGAAGTTATGGTTATCTCTGTTAATCCTCAGTGGACAGTTCTTGTTATATGATGAGATCACTGCTTCGCGAAATTGCTCCGCTACTGTATCCATATCATTACAACTGTTGATAGTAATGAAACCTTCCTGAAAGTACGATTGGAGGGAGTTTATATAACTACTCCAATCAGTAGATTTTGAGTCACGATATCCCACTACTGGGCTTAGACCTGTTTCAATATTGAAAAGAATATATCTATGCTCTGAACAAGAAGGTTCAGTAGATATAGTCCAATGGTGTTCTTGTTGCTCAGAGGATGTGAGCTGATGGTTAAGTCTAATACCTCTTGCCAATTACTAGTGACAAAAGTTGATTCCGAGACCTCATTAATTATAGACAGCCCTTCCCCTAGTATATAGTCAAAGAGTAATTCACCTCTATGTTTTATATTCATGCTGACCCACGCTGTATTGTGTGAATCATCCCATTGCGATTTGGAGTTTGTTCCTTTTGCTGTAGTCTATAAGTCGTATAACAGCTAGAGGAGGTACGGTATCCGAATCTCCCGGAAATTAGGTGGAGGAGGCGATAATATTCGTCATTCTCTTTTTGCCCGGTGAGGAAATTTAGATGGCTACAACATCTTGGTTGCAGAAGTCTATAAGCAAAAAATAATTAATATTTTTTCTGATGACCAGGCATGCTCTTGGTTTCACCCCAGGACACGCTATCATCTCACCAAGTATATTGCTCAGTCCGGTTAGTCAGCCTGTATTTCCTGTCCGTGGTTCCTGCAGGAAATGCAACGCAATATGAGTACTTTTTTGCATGAACTTAAAAGATGCAGGAGACTTGAGATTGGCATTGGGATTAACTTTCACTTCACTTACGATTTTCATGTTATAAGGCATTTTTCGATCATGGTTTCATGGCTCACGAGCAAGCAGACAATAACTATTCATTTTGTTTTTTACGGCTGTCGAACGTATTGCATGAGTTTTATCATAATAGGCGGAATATATTCTAAGCAATTAGTGCCAAACCGCTCTTTCATCACAACTTTAACACCCTGTTGATAAAAAAATGAAGCGATTCAGACCATGCATTTTTATGACTTTTTTGCGATGAAATATGTTAAAAAGTCATCGCCCGAAATCATCACTCAAGTTACTGAGATACCTTTTCCGAAATTGATAATCCTCCCAACCTATCTCCCTGAAGAATATCCGTACCCGCATTGTATATAATCAGTTGGGGTTCAAACTCGCTCAACGCTTCTTTGAGTTGACTAAAATCAAATATGAGTTAATGCAACTTTCCTATAAACAGCAAACATGTCATACCGTTTTACAATTCTTAAGTAGTCTTCATCTTCAGTGTAGAAGTCTAATAACACTTTTCTTTGTATCGCTTTTTCAGCTTCTTTGTCCTTAGGATAAATCCATTTGTTATAAACATCCATGATATAAACGTTTGCATTATCTCTGCAGTCACGTTCATACCCATTACCTTGATGTGCATCTAAATCAATTATCATGACTCGTTGCACCTGAAATTATGTCCGGGGACTTGCTAAATATATTAGGGAAACAATGACAACTTGATGGAATTGATAACACTGACCATGATAACAATTAAACACTGTTCACACTATGAACTTCCCTCCAAACATTAATTACACAGTGTATTGACATGCGTAATGGTTAAAGTTCATAGTGTGAAAATTGTTCAATTATTATTGAATATAATTATTATATTTTCAAAATTTCATGCAACAAAGTCCGTAATAATATAAATATGGATATATTTCATGAACTATTCAAATTGAATTCCGAAGCAAAATAAGAAATAAATCTTTTTTTTTTTTTCAATTTCAATCATCCGTAATCGTTAATGCTGACACTAACAATTCCCATATTTAACATAAAAATATTTAACAAATCATTTCAATTTTCATGAAATTTGGGCTTTTCTTTCAGGAAGAAATAAGTTAACCCTTCTGTTAAAAAGAATCTGTTTTTCCGTTAATCAGCTGTCGCCCTCATACGAACGACAACTCTCAGAAGTTGAGAAACTTGTGCGAGCTAGAGACTAACGAGGTCTTACCTTTTAACGTGATTCCTAACACGGTTACAGAATCATTCCAGCTTCAACCAGATAAATTATCTCGAGAAAAATATCTGGTCGAGGCGGGAATCGAACCCACGGCCTTCCGATCGTGAGTCGGGCGCACTCCCACCGCGGCCGATTCTGTTAGGAGATATGACTAAGGAGTTGACTGAGTTTGGTCACTTTTTATTTGGTATTTATTATTTGAAATTATCATCATGCATAACGAACATGAAAACAATTCACCTTCTGTCTGAATGATTGAATCATGTGTTGCGATTGAGAAATATAGTAAATGAAAAAGTTATAAGCTATATATAGTACCAAAGATGAACTGAATATGTTTTGAAACAAAGAAAACAATGATTGATGATTTCAATGGTCCATAAACAGATTCAGATTTGCAAAAATAAAACTATATTAGTTATAGAATTCCAAGAATCATGATTCAGTTAAAATTCAAATTTGCAAAAAAGGAAGCTATGGTACCTGTGTCGAATTGAAAGCTCTACTATGTGATAGTGTAATGGTAAATGAATCCCGTCATCAAATGATATGAATAGTACTTTACAGATTCCTGGAATGTCACTAGTCCATTCCCGTTTATGAATGGAATGAAACAAAATGTCTTAAAAAAGTCGATAAACTGACCAAGGCTCGAAATGTTACTAAAGACGAATTGTCATCATCCGCTGCCTTTTGAATCAAAGCGTATATAGGACGTTCCAACGAAAATTTGACCCCCCTGTGAGTCAGAAACGGACGTGTAATCGAAAATTTTAAAGAAACCGTCAATATTTCTTGGGGAACTAATTCTGATATAGAAATCATACCCGAAACTTCACTCCCTGCGGTCAGCAACTACCCCCCCTTTTTTTTCCAATGACATGGGGGTCGAGTGATACATCATTTGAAAGGTATTTTGTCCCTCTATTACTTCTGTAATTTTTTTCGAAATTGGTTCATTTGTTATTGAGAAATGTTGAACGATTTATTCAGGATAAAACAGAAAATTTGCTGTCGCTCATTTTATTGAGGAAATCAACAAAAGTAATATCAAGGCAGAAATCGGCATTTCTGAACAACTCTCTGTCGTAGGTCTTCTAGATTTGTAGGTTAAGTAGACTACACTGTCGACTTCAGGTGTCCCCACAGAAAGAAGTTCATCGGTGTGAGATCAGGTAATCTAGCTGGCCACTCCACTGGATCACTTCTGCCGATCCAACGCATTGGAAAACGTTCGTCCAAAAACTGTCTCACCTCAACATCAAAATGTGGGGGTGAACCATCCTGCTGGAATGTTATTTCATTTTCTACCAAATTGTCATCATTCTGTAAAATTTGTGTAATCATAGGATCTACACAGTCTTGTAACAGATTTAGGTATGTGTTTCCATTGAGATTACCTTCAATGAAGAATGGTCCAATAATATGATTACCAAGAATGCCGGCCCAGACATTCAATTTTTGTGGATTTTGTGAATATGTTTCCATCACCAAATGAGGATTCACATCGCTCCAGTAACGACAATTATGTCTATTCACTTTACCATTCAACAAGTTGTTATCTGCTCAGTACGCATATATAAATTATTATCATGTATTTTAATGTCTGGAATGTTGATAGATTTGCACTGAATGTTACTTCTCTGAGCTTGAATCTCGTCTAAGAAACAATTGGTTAGTTTAATTGAAGCAATATTTACCTCTGGATCGTTTTGTGTACAATCATTCCAAGAAATGTTCCACTCCAATTTGTTCGACAAACTCTACAGGTGAACGAGGTCTATTAAACATTGTTGAAGTTGTTGAGAACTGAAGAGAACAATATACGGGCTAGTAGGCCGTGATCGAATGGACTGTGAAGTGTCAAACGTATCGTCTGCTGCTGCGGCAGACATTGTCAGTGGTATGTGCATTAACTTCGAGATATAATTAATGTCCTCGCCTGCCGCATACCGCTGATGTCTGCCGTAGTAGCGTACAAAACGTTTGGTACCTCAGGTTTCATTCAACCGCGGCTTACCAGCCCCGATTTTGTTCTCTCCAATCATGTCTCCGGCAGTGGAAGCCTATGTTTTCATATAGATGAGAATTATTCTGTAAAAACACATTGAGAAGGCATACTCACCTTTCTCGGAAAGTGATAAAAAAGAAATTTTATGAGTAAGGTGATATCAGCATATGCGCAAAATCCGCCTCCACGTGAGGCCGAACAGTGATGAAAACCACCTCCTAAGTTAATAGCCCAACCTCGATCCAAAGCTAACTTTCCAGAAAGTATAGAACCACCAGTCTGATATCTGAAAAGTTAACAAAAAGTCATATTTATTGTTATCAACCGAAGTTTTCCCAAAAATATGAAATTATTGTAATTGTCGAACAAATATGTCAAAACAAAATATGTCAAAATTTGAAATGAAAACAGACTATTTCCTTCTGAAAAAAAAAATTGCAATTCGACTCATAGTTCGGCAAAAAATATAATATGTACGTCTCTATCCTATCTACGTGTATTTAACAATCTTTGACAAAACTGTAACGTCATAAAAAAAACTGTTCTGCAAACCATAGCATGACATACATATACAGAAGCTTTCCAAATATCAAGCTCAACGCATCATTCATTCTGCGTTTTTCTGACATATGAAAGAAAGTCCTCTGTTGACCTTCAGTTATGGAGGTCAAACTGATGATGTTGAAGCATTCCAAATATTCAAGTATATTTTGGATAACAACTTTCTTCCCTATTTTGATAAAACCGATAGAACAGCTGGAATTTATTAGGTGAATCCAAAGCATACAAAAGTACAAGATCATGACAAATACTTTATCGATATTTGTAAGCATTTTTGATGTTTAGCTATTTCATGGCTCATTTGATTATACACTGTCAATGAAAAAATTCCTGCATTGAGTGACAAGCGGTTTATTTTCGAATATATGACTGTGCTGTTCTTTACTTTCGCCTGTTTTCAATTCGTTTTTGTAATATGTTGAATATGAGAAATCGAAGCAGAAATCGTTTCAAAAGTGCTACTGAGTCCATTATAATCTTCACTATGCAATTTCCTCTTGACATCCCTGACGACATCCAGAAATGTAGGGTCTTTCATTAGACGCTCCATATGTATGTGTGTGTGATATCATCGGAATTTTTAATTCTTTTGGCGAAGCTGTGGCGTTTGAATGTCCGCCACGGCTTCTCTGGGTGGAGCGCATCCGAAACGTCCAATTTTCCATGAATCTGGCGCAAAAATAGCATGGGTTATGTTGACTTTGAAGACCGCTGTGATTTGTGACTTATTCGCATACACCATCGACTTGAGAAAACCTAACTAGAAAAGGTTTAACAGGGTCAAATTGCACGATCTCGGTAGTCAGTTCACATCACCTCCACGTGAAATCACCATGCCCTCAAATCGCTCGTGCAGAATATCCAATGTGGTATGAGCTGTGCGGCGTCCTGTTGAAACCACATGTCGCGTTGGTGTTCAGATCATCCAATTCAGATCAAAAGAAGTTGGTTATCATCGACCTATACGGCACGCCGTTGACATTGGACACTCTTAGATCTCATGTGGATTGGTATCGTTCCAAATTCGACAATTATGTTGTTCTCGCACCCATTCATCCAGAAATGGACCTCATCGCTGAAGATGATTTTTCAATGAAAATTAGGGTCTATCTGCTCCAAAGCCCATTCAGAAACCTTGAGTTCCTGGTTCAGTTGAATTTTGTACGGGTGGTATCCACAATCGTCAGTCATCACCCGAAGACGACTGTGGATACTAACAATCGAGATATCGTGTAACTTAGTAACTTAGCTTGGAATCTCTTATTTTTTTTGTTCAATTGTTCTATTTTTGAAAAATATGATATTTTTCCTGCTACTATTACTAACTTTTTGGTGATGACCCCATTGAATTAATATTGCAAATTGTTTTCGATACCTGAACTTGTTTAGAATTTTCACCAGATATCTACTAACAAGAAAGATCAAGTATGTGATATTTTCGAAAAGTAAGTTAAACTATCTTTAAAATGAGGTTTTAACTTAACCCTCTTCCCATTTAAGATTTTAGGGGTTGTGCGCGCCTCCTCTAGAGGGTTGATGTGATTATGCATAGTTTTAGATATGGATATGGCAGATATGGCAGAAATATGGAGGGTGGTACGTTTTCAAATCGACACACTGTATGACACCCTACTTTATTTTCTCTCTTGTATTGTTCAGATCAATTGATTTGGAAAGCTGTGTATCCAGAAAATTATATCACCCCCTAAACTCCAGTTTTCTATCTATATGAAAAACTATCAAAGGGGGTAGAATAAAAATATAGAAAACCTGAGAATGATAGTAGTTTGAAATGAATGTGATGGAAAGTGTTTTATTCTAATACAAACCTCATAGGCTTCAAATAGGCACGCCGAATGAAATAATTTGGAACTGGAATGAGCGCTAAAATTTCTGCGATTTGTGCTACATGTAAACTACACTGGAAAAAAATAAAAATTAAACATTTTTATGAGTGTCATGTTTCAGTTATAAATAGTTTTGTTTCGGAAAAAACGATATTCTAGTTCCTCAATTTCAATTTGGATTTCAAAAGAAACCACTCACTTTTGACACTGCAATAAAATATGATTACTTGGCCTTTAGTCTTGTTATAAAGATGAATATAAAAGTACATTCGTAGCTTCTGAAGGCTACCCCTATTCATTTACCTGATGGAATTTCATGGAATGAAATTCTGTTAGAAAAATTATTCGATTAGAATTATAATTGAAATTATTGAAAACGATTGAAAAGATTCAAAATATATGAACAAATTTTGCACCATTTTATAGTTTTCTGTAGTTTTTAATCATGGTAGCATTCGACAACATAAATCAAAATATCAAAGTAATTTTTGTAACTTTTCCTGTGAATTCTAGATTGAAGCAAGTATTGTATGGGCAAATCTGGTTTCTTTCAGATACACTAGGCATGGATCGTTCCATTTATATCTAGTTCCAGATTTAAGGTATTGAAAAAGTAATTACTTTCAAACGTTTCAAATATTTCTTCGTATGCACCATTAGTAAATCTTCTTCAGTTGCTTCATTTGGCACGACTACAGTCTTTTTATCTATCAAACCACTTTGCTTCAATATCTGAAAAGATAATCATAGTTAGTAATCTCGTAACAGAGTATAATGTAGTTTTCAGCAAATTGCACAAGTTTGGTAAGCAGTTCTTTCAGAAAATCTATTTTTCAGTTTGTATCTGAAAAAAAGATCTACGTATGAACAATATATTCTAATCAGTATCACATGACTATTGTACTGGCCACAACAAGCCAGCAATGAATGGCAATATTGCCAAGATGAATATCGAAAACACCTACTCGAAAAACAGCTACAGTGAACAGAATTGCAGATTTTTTGAGAACAAAACACAAGCACTACAAAAAAAATCCCTAAGACGCCCTCAGAGTGGTGCCTGTGCGAACATAGCGATTCACATTGGATTTGATTCGCTGAGGATTACATCCATTTGGTACAACGTTCTCAGGAAGTTTATTCGACATAAACGCAGTTCTCCAGATGAAAGGGTTCTTGAACAGTGAAGTTTGAAGTGTACTGATGAGCAAAACGATGAGCAGTCACAGTCCGTCGCGTATTTCTGATTTGTAGCGCTCTTGGTGGAATCAAATGTGTCAAGTCACTTGAACACTACCCGTGAAAGTATCTATTGAAGAGAGACAAATCTTCAAGCTTTCTTCGATGTTCCAGGCTATCGAGGTTGTACGTGATGTTCGCGTCTCCAATCAGGCTCTGGATGGAATCCAGCAGCTTCAGAATATGTTTGGGGGAAGATATACATACATGAGAACAATAGTCCAAAGATGGTCTGATATGAACTTTATAAAGGATCAAAAGTTGGTGGGGTGTGTATAATTTTCTGATTCGGAACAGTGTTCTAAGCTTTTGAGAAGCATCCTTTGCAATTCCAGCGACATGATTGTGCGATGACATATTGTTGTCTATTTCAACCCCCAACAAACTCATCGAAGCAGAAATCTGAATTGTTTCTTTCACCCAAATTCGAAATTACTTCTAGATCCTCATTAAGATATGCAACCTCCTGCTGCTGATAAAGATGTGCCTCCGTAGCAGATGTCCTGGAATCCAAATGGAATGATGAGACAAGTCAGTAAAGCAATATATTGGATTCTTGTTTTTTTTTTTTTAAATAAGTCGTTGATATACAATAAAATGAGGGTTGGAGACAATATGGATCCCTGAGGAACACCAGCGTTGATGATGAAAGTATTCGAGAGATATCCATCGACGGCCACTTGCAGGGAACGTTCTTTCAGGAAGCTTAAGAGTCATACACAACAGCTCTTGATTCTCCATGTTTCTCGATTGCGTTATTCCAAAAATGGGTGACATATAATAGAAGGTCGCCTAATGATTTTTGTTGTCCGAAAGCCATATTGATAATAATCGCTCGAAATGTTGAAGCCTTTCAATTATTTGAGGATATGGTAGTTTACGACTCTCTTCATGATTTTGATATCACTGATAGCAAAGCGACTGGTCTATAGCTATTTGAAAGATTTTTCTTGCCTTTTCGGGCAAGAAAACGAAAAGGAAAACCCCCTTTCTTGTGAGACAGGTTGAAAAGTCTGCAAAATACTGATGCAAGTTTATTTGCGCAATTTTTAAGTACGATGACGGGCACATCAGGGCCAGACGCCTTGTTGATATTGTGCTGTTTCAAAATTCGCCTGACTAGACGCTGTCGAAAAGTAATTTCCGGCATTGTGGATTCTAGTGCGGGAATAGTGGGTGGTGCCTTTCCCAGAAAATCCACTGTGGAGTGGGACGCAAATTGTTCAGCTAGTAGCTTTGCTTTTTCTATGGCTGTTGTTGCAATTGAACCATTAGGATCTCGGAAACTATGAGAGATACGAAGATGGTTGAATTGGGGCAAAGTTGCGCATTTACCTGACTGACAATATGCCTTTGAGAGTGTTCTGAAATTCCGAGTATATCCGGATCCGGAAAAACAGATATTTCAGAAAATGAATTTTATTTTTTTCTGGCTTTATATTTCGAAGGCTTCGAAAATAAATAGCTTTTCCACATTGTCACTTTTTCCCTGCTACATAATGATACTATCCGACATTTCGTCTTCCAACCACCATCATCAACTTTATTTTTTCTTATGGGCGCTACATTGGATTCTTTCTGTTTTGAATAGAACCAGATTTTACCTTGTCAATGATGTATCATAAGTTATCATCATTTTTCGAAAAATTGGAGATATTGAAAAAAATTAATTCTTATCATAATAGGCTTTGACTTTGATGTTTCTATATTTGACTTTCAATTTGTTACACTCAATGACATTTTGTTATTGTACAAGTCATTGAATTTTTGGCGAAAAATGGTTTTCACGAATAAAGAAAGAAGAGATATGATACAAATGTATTACAAATACCATAGAAACAGTGTTAGGACATCCGAAATGTATTTAAACTTGTATCTCGAAAGACGACAACCACATCGAACTATGTTGAAGTTATTGGATCATAATCTCACAGAGTTTGGTTCGATAGAAAAGCCAATTAAAAAATACGGAGACGAAATCAACAATCAAAATTTGATAAATGAGGTGTGTATGAGGTAAATTACACATTGTGTCCTTTTCAATGAAAATAGAACTTTGAACAAATAACAATAATTAACGGAAATGAAAAGACAAAAGTAAATGACAGCAAATTCTCAAAATGCTGACCTTGTTCATGATAACACAACTGTGTCCTTATTCGAATATTATTCAATGCTTTATTAATTTCCCTCCTCCTCAATCTTCCGAATTCTCTAACAATGCTGTGTTGAAGGTGCTAAATATTTTCATATTCCCTCTGACCATAAACTCTATTTTTCAGAGTACCCCATAAGAATGTATCCGAAACACTTAAGTCTAGAGACCGAGATCCCAATGGTGAGGATCGAATTTGAAACACCCTGTATAATATTTCATGCCTTTGGAAAACAGTCAGAAATGCATGGAACTGGAAGAAAAATCTTCTGGATAATTCGTGTAAAAAATAAGAACGTTATACAATGCCAACGTTCAGGACTCATTATCTTCAGTTTTCTTTATGTGGGAGAATATTCTAAATTGACTCAATATTGAGTTGATTGATTTAAAGACATGCGTTAGAATTATGATCATTCCCCGGCAGTGTGTTTCGGGTCAAATGAATATTCTTTGTTGACATTAACGTGTCGTTAACTACTTCATATATTAGCATATTTAATATTGAATGATCAGTTGTGGAAAACAATATGAAGTAGTTGGATATAGTGAACTTCAAAAAATGAAAATGAGAGTAAAAATCTTGTTTGAATTACTTTTTTACCTTTATAGCCAGTTCACCTCAATGTGTATCTTACAATGTTATCTGATAAAGTATCAGATAAACAATAAAATATCAGACTATACGAAATCTTTCCCAGAGAGGCATATCAATCTCTTCATCTTCCACAACGATAGTTTCGGACCAATACAACATCTGACCTTTTAATAACGATACTTTGTTCGACTAACGGCTACACGTTCATCACTAGTTGTTACCTTGTAAATATTTTTCCACTTCCGTGCATCAAACGGGTGTAATTTTTCTAGTCCCATGAAATTAACATTGTATTCTCTTCTATACACAATAGGCCATTGTTCTTTGTTGATATTAAGGTAGAGATTTGTTCGAAAACTCATGTTTCAGTCATTCTTCTGAAAATAATTCATGATTATAAATGAATATTTCTTCTGCTTCAATAAATAGAATTATAAATACCGCTTTCACATTATATATTATATCAAATTTTAATAATTTCAAGGCAAGTTTCGAGAAAACTGCAAATGAGCGAACCTCCACAATCTCACCTACCCCGTCACATCATTGTGAGCTCTTTAATTTATTTCAGTAATACCTAATGTTTTGGGTTCTCGATATACAAGTTCAATGAATCCCTCTAATATCAACTTTCATCTTCTTTCAATACTAATGAATATACCAGATTACCTACTCCCTTGATAATTTTTTCGTATGTGAACATGATAATTCATTCAAAAATTATATTTTATTGCCAACCGACCTAATTGGGGGAATTAGGAATGGTATTCAGTCAGAAGTTGGTGAATGAAGATCAAATCTGAATTTTAAGAAAAATGAAGACCGATGAGAAAATGGCTTGAAAATTATGAGAATGAGGAGGCATACACAAAATATAAAAAGAATTTTGTGAAAGATCATCAACAATATTTATGGAAAAACAAAATATTATTCAAATCTCAAATGAATTGAAATTAATGAAATATCAATTCAGGACAAGAGAGAAACCACAAACAAATCATCCTATTTCAACTAACTTCTAAACAACTATACGTACTCGAAAAATATTGACGACAACGAGTATTTGGAACATTTGAAAGAAAACGCACAAATATTAGAAAGAAATAAAAGAACTGAAAGGTAAAAAGTCACTAGAATTCTACTAGGTAGAAATTCTCAAATAAATCTATTAGCAAAGCCATTGGCATTTCTGATTCATAAATGCTTTCATTGCTTGGATTTTTCCCAAATATTTTGAAATCTAACGACTCCATAGAAGTGGAATGATATATTGTGAAAAATGTTTGGAAAAATTGTTTCTTTGTGATTGAACTCAATGTATTTGTTCCATCAGTAAGGATTTAAGAAAGAAAAATCAACGGAATCCATTAATACCTATATTATTCTTTACACAAAAATTTTCAAAAATAAAAATTGTTGACATAAGGCGGCTTCAATCGACTTTTAAATAACAGTCACAATACCTAATATGAGCATAACACGGTGTGAATTCTAGATACGCATTGAGTATTCACCCCTCTTCCAATTTTTTCAATGAAATCTTCGAAATGGTATATTCTCTTCCATCTCTTGTTTTTCTTCATCTTCAAATTTGAAGTTTATGCATCGAGTATTCAATCAAAATTTTGTTCTCTCGAGATGCCAAAAAACGAGTTAAAACAGTAGATGGATTCGTATGTGGATCTAAACAGAATTCACCTCAATAAGTTCAACTTCTTCGACTAATGGTTCACATTCACTCATTTTTGTATGTTTTTAAAAATACACCTGAAGTAGAAAGCCATGAGGGAATTGAGAAACCATTCGGTGATCGACGATAATGAAGTAAATGTAGATAACTATGATGTTATCAAATGGAGAGCTTCCCATTTAAAGATTTTCCGGTTTTGAGATTGCAAAACAATTGTACGAATGATGATATTCTATCTCTTACAGTGACCATTTTCTTTAGGATTGAAAGCTATGATACAACTAGATTCAATACCTTTGTAATAATTAAATATATATAATTTTCACCTTTTGCATATCATGACAGATCCAAAAGTCATTTGTAATGGATAAATTCAGTGCTTAACGTTTTGTTTGAGAAATGTGCTTTCATTATTCATATTGAGAAAATTTTACAATAGGAACAACTAAAGTGCGTTAATGACCTTCAGCAATTACGTCGCATTAATTAAACCGATTCTCTAAATCTTCAGCAATCAGCATATCCCAAATATTCTCTGTCGCAAGGTTGGTAGGTAATGAAAACTCTCCCAATTTAGTCTACCCGACTGCTAGAGCACTTTGCCGATACAACACCTAGAATAACATTCGTCCAAAAAGAATTCCACGTGAATATAGAAATAATGGGGTTTGCACAATCCAATAATAATTTTGACTAAATTTATGGTTAGTAGCAACGTCCGCTTCTTCATACTTAGGACGTTTGATTGTTTTTGGTCTCTATTGACGTTATTCCAGTAATCAATCGATTACTTCAAAGTTAAACATAAATACATACAAAAACATGTAACGGAAATTATGAAATCGCGAAATAGTGAATTTTTTGCTATACAAAATACAGTTACAGAAGTGTATAGATTCCATAATTCAAATTTTGGGAAATTATGACAATATTTACTATGAATTTTCTGCTATATTACATTCTGTTTTATTCTTACCAATGATGTCCGTGCGAGATTTGCACTGAATCATTCTGAGAAAAAAACACTGCTTTTTCTCAAGGTAAAAATTATATATTCGATCTGGTTTCCAGATTTTTCCCGTTTGAGTTGCGGTTTATTTACTCGTTGTTATGAAATTGGGAATTATTAAATACTAAAAACGTTTTCAGCAGGCAAGAAGCAGACTTTAATATTTAAACATGAATATTTAAACATAAACAGTTTTGACAGTTGTTAACCTACGATGGCTATTCGCAGTCTGTCAGTCATGTAACGTTGCAGAATCATCCCAACTTCAACTAGATGAATTCTCTCGAGAAAAATATCTGGTAGAGGTACGTATTTAGTTGAAAATATTATTAAATAAACATGATCCATTATATGAATTTCTACAATTTCTACAGAAAAGATATCAAGAAACCTTTTCTATTCAGTAACAAACTCTCCAGAAAATTTCATGATAAAAAGAAGGTTACAATCAATTTTATCGTATGTTTGGCAGTATTTAGGATGTCAATTATGACATTTTATAATATGACTTGAGTTTCGATTATTCTGAAATGGATGACTTGCGAAAAGCGAAAAAAGGTTTCAAAATTATTCTATTGATCACTTTGAGATGACTGATAAAAAAAGTCTCATTTAATAGAAGCGATAGTAATTTCAGAACCAATATTAAGTCTTACAATTTGAATGTCGAATATTTCAGAAACAATGACATACGACAATTCAGTATCTTCAACATGAAAGACCTGAATTAATTGTACTAATTTCGATTCACCTTCAAGGACCTCCGAGAGGCAGTCCGCCACTGAGTTTTAGCCTATTTTGATAAAATAATAATTCAGGATATATATTTCATATCCCAAATCTACAATAGGTATATAAAAGTTCCAGTATATTAAAGATCTGACTGCTTTTGAAGTAGCAACTGAAATATTTTTAAAATATGTATTCAATCAGAAGCATTGTCTCAGAACTGAAGTTGAATGCACTAATTCAAAAATTTGCTTTTATGCTCTACTTTCCCAAGGAAAAAATAACTACGCCAATAACTACATTCGGTTACTTCAGTAATCAAATAATGAAGGATATTTACCCTTTGTAATCCTAAAACTGGGAAAATCATAGATATCTAGAAATGTAACAGTATGCTGTATTAGTATCGTCTATTATTTGAATATCCCACTGAAATGTATCGATCCGGCCTTCATGTTCATCAGCGAATCAAAACCATATAAACAATCTTGCTGTACGACACAAACAAATGAATCAACGGAACGTCAACAATCACATTTCAGTCGAACTTTCGATTTATTATTGTGCATTTCCAAGAAAATTGCGAGGGAAATGATACCGAATGTCATATCTGGAGTTACAGTGATTAGTTCCTTGACTAGCTGCAGATGTCCCTGATGAAATTCGACGTTTGAAAAGTGTCTGGGAAGGTTTGAATGTTGCAATGGAAGCTTCGTACGAAACAGATGTGCAGTGAGTACCTACTGTCATTTTTATCCGAGTTTATAAGCATGCAGTGAGTTCTAATATATTTGCATTCGGTTGCTCTGAACTAAAATTGTTAGAATATTTTTTCAATTCAGTCGCGACTTATGAACTTAGTTCCGCAATACAGACAAACACGAGGGTTAATGAATAGAATTCAGAAGAATTCATTACACAGGTTGTGAATAAATTAGACAAATAGTTCACAGAGCAATCGTAATTTCTATCGTTTTCGGACGTTTCTCAACAATTGCCACATAATGTAGGGTCAGCTTAGGGTCAAATGTGACATCAAGATTCCTTTGATGAGTGCTTATTTGAAGAGGTGTGTTATTTATGCAGTAATCATGAGAAATAACATTATGTTTGAGGGTGTATTTTGAGTATTTACATTTGTTTGTATTGAGGGGAAGATTATTTTCTGTACACCGAAGGTATAAAAAGTCAAGGTTTTTTGTAAGATTAGGCAGTCCTCCTGTGATGTAAGAAATTACTAGAGAGATTATTTCCTATGTCGTTAATGAATAGTGAGAATAAAAAAGGTGCTAAATTGCTTCTTTGAGGGGCACCACTGTTTGCAATAAATTGGAACGACTTGTGACTAAACTATAACGATCAAAATAAAGCAGAAACTGACAAACGACGTAAATAAACCAACCTCACGCTAGTTTTTAATCATGATGAATACGTTTCAAACCACAGTTAATGTGATGTCATCGTTTCAACGCCAGAATTGATCTATTTGAATCACAGACGAATACGTTTTGAATACATGCGCTCCAGGAAACGCCTCAAATAAGTACGTCAGTTTAGAGGACAGAAGTTTCTGCCCCTACATCTTCAAAAGCACGCTTTTCAGGTAAACTGGGAACCGCACCATATAAATCCCTTGATTGTTTCACAAAGATCTGGGTTGTGCGTGAATTTTCCCGAACTATCCTCGAACACTCCATAACATTGCAAAAAGTTCCGTGCTGTTCTGAAATGTTGTGGAATGCTTTCGAATATTCTCAGGTGTCCTAGAGTTTTCCAGATGATGAAGCCGTTTCATCTCCAAAAGCACGCTCTTCAGGTTAAAATGGAAACGTTCGTCAGTTGATACAACGAAAGAAAAAATATATTCTGCTCTCCGTATGAAGCCGGTCGGGTCGATAGTCTATATTAAAAAATTAGGGTACAATGTGTTTGCCGTTCAAACCGCTTGATCTTGAAAAAGTTTGGGTATAGTCCAGAGCGTTCAAAATTTTCACGGAACATTTCAGATCATTTGGAACATTCCAGATCACTATCGAATGTTATATACTATTCCGGAACATTTGGGATCATTTGAAGCTTTTTTTATATAGGTTAGGGTATATAAAGCAAGATTCGTCGACTTGTCATAATTTAAAATTAATCATTTCATTCCAAGAATAACAAAATTTCATATCAAATTCCCTGCCAGGACACCTGGCAGAAAACAGTTTGGCATATTTTAACACTTTAACATTTTGCACCCATCCAAATTATGTTCTTGTCATCCCATCCTGGATTCGTAAATGTGTTTATGAAATAATTCCATTGCTTGTGTAACAGTCGTATATTGTTTTTTTTTTCAATGATTTTATTAGATTAACAACGAAATGTTTTGGTAATCCTGTATCACTCGCGTCTTGCGTTCACAAGGTTTGTTTATGACTATTTTGCGTATAGTTAAGAAAGAAATTTCGGTCAAATCTGATGGTGCTTGTAATAGTTTGTTTCTCTCGAAACCAAACTTGAGATGTAGATTCTTATATACATTGAAACATACTCTCAGTGTTTCATTATTCAAATGCATCCGAATCTTATTCACTGTTATCTCTTTTTCGCATTGTTCACCATCGCTATTGCAATCACTACACTGGAAAAGTTTACGTTGTTAACACACTCGTTATTACTATTAGTACCTTTCCAAGGACGCCAACATTTTAAACAGATAACAAAAATTTTAAGTAATTATAACTGCACCAATATCGAATTTCAACACTCAAATCGCGATTAGTTCCTGAACTGAACACGACGGCGATAACATAGGCCGCATTCCCCGATTTCTATTCGTCACCATAACATGACTTCGAATTTAATTTTATGACTTTTCAGCCAATTATAAAACTAGGTTAGTAAGAATTATCCAATACGAACCGCCAAGTCTACAGTCCTCGTGGACTAGTTTGCTGCCGGTTCATTTCTATGTATTGTTTTTTTTTGGCCTTTGAGAGTACCGCCAACTTTAAGTGTGCAATCATAAAACTAGGTTAGTAAAAATTATCCAATACGAACCGCCAAGTCTACAGTCCTCGTGGACTAGTTTGCTGCCGGTTCATTTCTATGTATTGTTTTTTTGCCTTTGAGTGCCGGTAACTTTAAGAGTGCACAATATCGTTTACTTCGACTATAACATCTATAAATGATCTATACCTTTCACTTCTGGAATCATTTTGTTAGTTTGTAGAAAAAACCATTCTTATTCAAATTATCAACTCTCTCAAAGAACAGGTTTGTTTTTTTGCCGAATTGATCATGACACAAAGAGTACAATACTTTCTAATACTTGCTAATACTGTAACTATATTTCAAAGTTCATTATTTCATTCCATTTTCATCTCAACTCAAAATTCAAGATTTTTCTCAAACAATCCATTTTCAGTGCAGCATTAGATAGTTTCGCTGCCATGTAGACAGTCTAGCTACTGAATAGTAGGATTTGAACATATATCCGAACACTTTGGCATGCTTGAACTCATGATCTCTCCAAAAATACTACGAATAATAAAACTAGACTTTTCAGGAGAACTACTTACCGGTAGTACGATGTGAAGATAATAAAATAGATCAAAAACAGCATGTCATTGTGGTACATTACTCAATGGATTTCAGTTTATAGATATTTTTTCGTTATACGGTTAAAATCGTATAATTGTGAATCATTTTGAGATAAAATTAATAAATGAATAATATACTACACGAGAAATCAACATATAAGACCAAGTACAATATTTTGTTTCATTATTTTCGATTTTTTCGCACAGTGTTTCACTTATTTCATTTTCAGACATTTTCAGGATATTACAGCCAACTACGAAAAATTGGTTAGTGAACTTAGCAACGAGCTGAAGACTGTCAAGGTATGATCCTTTTTTATAACATTCCTTTTACCCGAACAAACCGGACAAAATGGTATCGACAAGTTCATATAGCGGTTTTTTTCTTGAAAAGAAAATTTACCGAAACCTTTCTCCGAATAAATATTATTTATGGGATTGCCACTTTTGCAAAGGCAATGATCTCAACGCGTAATAACGGGAATTTTTTAGGGATTGTCCATAAAAAAACGTTCAAGGACCCCCTTGGCATTATAGAATGCTGGTCTAACTTTTTTTCGATACTGCAGTAGGCAAATATTCAACATTATTTTGTTTTTTCGTGAATATTTTTTTAAATAGTGATATTTGGAGAAAAATTTGTATTTAGGGACTTTTTTCAATATGATAAATCGAAATTTGGTTTTGATTCGGTACTTAGTTGTAGGGAGCGCCACCTACAGATCTGGGCTTTTTTTGGGGAGTCGCAACTACGTCGTGCATGTCTGTATCACATTTCCTAGGTGAAAAATCGATTCCTCTATTATTTATACGTTAAAAAAGGTATGCTTGTCAAAAGTCGTTATGAGCAGCTGTTTTTAAAATATTTTGATTTAAATTAATCGATCATTGCGTTTGTCAAAATGTGGAAAAATTTTGATTTTTTTTCAACCTAGAAAAATTTCAAAAGCTAATTCTGATCAACAATAAATTACGGAACACTAGATATAAATCCAATTCAAAATCACAATAAATGTTCGAAATGTCCACCTCCTGCCTTTATGCATGCATCCAATCTTCTTCTCATTGATTCGCGAACTCTTTGGAAAATTCCTGAAGTTTCTTGAATCAATCTGCAAAAGTTAATTACATTATCTTCTCCATTTTGGATAGGTAAATGAAGGATTTCAGATGTCCCCACGAGAAAACATCCGAACTGTTAAGATCTGGTGACCTAGGAGGCCATGGTTGAGGCCCTCCCCGACCAATTCAACGGTTGCCGGAAGTTTGATCTAAAAATTATAGCGCTTGTATGCTAAAATGTACCGGGGCACCGTCATGCATAAACCACATTTCATTTCGTAGTCTAAGCAGCAAATCTTTCAGTAAAATAGGCAAATCTTCTTAAAAAAAATGACAATATCACTCTACATTTAAACGTTCCGGAATGAAGAAAGGGCCTATTCCCATGTTCTTGGAAATGTGATTCCTGTATTGCATGGGGGTTTTCCTCTGACCACAAATGATTGTTGTGAAAATTGCGTAAGCAATGCGTGAAAAATTTGCATGAGAAATGTTTTCAGCGGTATTTTTCTGGAGCTTGTTTTCGGATGTTCCAGCAGATTAAGAACTGCTTCCTCCGTTGCTGAGGTTCTAACCTTACACTGGACAGATGACTAGCTCTCTCAAAATTCCTGTTTCAATTAACCGAGTGTGAATTCTTGAGAAGGTTTTTGAAGTGGGAATTGTGCGGCATTTTCGTTAGCAAGTCCACATGTTATATGTGTATGTCAGCATACTCTGCATTGGTGAAGTTTACCATTTTCAAACAAATAATCACACTAATAACAAAACTATTTAACCATGCGTCAAGATATTATTTTTGACATGACAGCACAAAAACGATCATGACAATAAACTTACTAGCCTACTGGATACTTTTATTTTTAAAGAGTTCCTTAATCAATGACAAGACTATTGGATGCATCGATTAATTTAAATTGAAAAATCTAGAAAACGGCTGCTTGTAGAGACTTTTCACAAGCATACGTTTTTCACGTAAAAATAATAGAGGAATCGATTTCTCTTCTAGAAAATGTAATACATATATGCACGACAAAGTTGTGACTCCTCAAAAGAGAGCAAGTCCTCTAGGTAACGCCCCCTACAATTAAGTGCCAAACTAAAACCATATTTGAAATTATCATATTAAAAAGTCCTCAAATACCAATTTTCGTCCAAATATCGACATTTTCCAAACTAAGTTGCGTCACGACGTTTCGATTGTTAGTATCCACAATCGTCTTCGGGTGATAACTGGACTTATTCCTTCAAGATCCGTCTATTTATATAGGTCATTCAAGTGCTTTCACCTATCCCCTCTTCCCTCTCTCCGCTTGCGGAACCATGCTTATATAAACTTTTTACCTTATGATTATCTGTATATACATGTGTGAGTCGGTGTGTATATGTGTGTGTGTGTGTGTTCGGTAGGTGGGCCGATTTCCAAGCAACTTTTTCAAATAACTTATTTCGGTATCATCAACTCGAATTATGTTGAGGATTGTTTTATGTAATTCATAGATTATATTTTTTTTAGGCTGAACAAGATACTCTGAGATTGAAAGTCTCTTCGGTTTTGAACGAAAACAATAGATTGTCAAAGCAAATCAAAGAATTGACGCATATTGGAAATCAAGATTCATCTTTACAATCAGAACTAGTAAAAAACCTTCAACAACAAATTGTCACACTTTCAAATGAGAAAGAAGAGATTACGAAATTATGGCAGCATTCTAGAAAATCTCTTGAAATACTCGAGAACGAATTGAAGATTTTCCAAACTGGAAGTCAAGATTTCGTCCCAAAAAGTGAATATATAAAGGTGGGTAAATAACAATCAATATCTACTTAGAATTTTAGGTTCCAGTTAATTTCAAGAAAAAATGTCGGGACAGGTCGATTACGAAGAGGAAATAATATTTTCCGTGTATTCTCAACCCTGTCAAACTAAGTATTGCTTGACCCATCTTCCCATTGAAAATTTAGGGGCTGAATCCCACCCATACCAGGAGTTTAAAGTGAAAACACTTCTAATTTAATCACTCTCTGTATGTTTAAACTTGTTATATGTTTGTACATCAATTCCATGAAAATTTTCAGGTCAAACAAAACTATGAAGAAAGAATAAAAATCTTGAACATCGATCTGAACTCAACGAAGGCTATTCTAGAAGAAACTATGAGAAACACCAGCAAAGAATTAACTGGCAAGTATCAGGAAATCGATCAATCTTTAGAAAACCAAGCGAGCGCCCTGAAAATCGTGAAAAACTTGGAGGATGAAGTCTTGATCCTTCAAAGCAGGCTGCAAGATTTTGAAAAAGAGAAAACAAAATTACAAAAAACTTTGAAAAATGGCGAGGATATGTTACAAAAATTAACGAAAAAAAATGTAGAGTATAGAGATAAAGTTGCAGAGGCTGTTCAGGTAGTTGAAGCAGCCCTGCATGAAAAAGATGCAGCACTGTTCAGGGAAACTGAAATGAATATCAAGATAGAGAAAATTAATGAAGACATGAAAAATATTATGAAGGAAATGGAGGAAAAAGTTACAAATCAAGTCGAAGCAGTTAAACTAGAGTACAATAAAAGATATGAAGTTCTCATGGCTAAATACAATACAGCTCTAGAAGATTTGAAAGTGAAATCTTTGGAAATTGAAAAGTTCTCTGCTAAATGTTCTTTCCTTGAGAATGAAATGGAGAAGTTTCGGCGAGGTGATGTCACTATTCAAGATACTAACATTTCCAAACTTCTCATCCTAGAGAAAAATTTGGAGACTACTTTCCAAAAATTGGTGAGATCTCACATCATTAACGTTTTGCTTAGGATAATATCTCTGTTTTCATTTCAGTTGGTTTCAGAAAAAGTGAATATTCAGTTGGCCTCGGAAAAAGAAACTATCAAAAATGATATGGAGCAATTGGCTGGACACTATGAAAGAACTCTTAAAACGAAAGAAGTTGAGAAATTAACTCTTCAAAATAAAATCAAACAATTAGAAAGCTATTTGGAAGAAAAAGATTTAACTTTGAAACGATCTAATGAGAAATTGAATTTGGGAGAGGAAGAGAAAATAGAAATTCAAAAGAATTTCAAACAACAATTGGAAAACCAGGAAAAGTAAGTTTTTTCAGTACCTCAGTTTCAACAGAATTTCTATAAATAAAGTTTGCTCACTGAGTTGGATTGTAAAATATTTTCAAAAACTATGCTCATACGCTCATAAGATATTAATTGTGAATAATTCACGATTCCAGTCTTGAAATGAGCATGAAATCTGAGTTAAACGTGAGGATCAACTTCTATCAAGAAGAAGAATCTTCAAAGTGATATGCTTTCAATGTTAGATGAATCTACAAAATTACCTGTAGATTCATCTAACACAACCACAACCTGTCAAACTTGTTTTATAGTTCATTTTATAGTATAGGTACCTATGTGAATCATTAATTTATTCGGAGGTATTTTTTGAATAAATTACTTGTTTTCTTTTGCCTGATTCTCGACGTTTTGTGAAATTCAATGCCATTTCATCGATTACAATATCAAATCTTTGGTAAATATGAAGCTTTCAGTTTTGTTTTCAACTCATATTTAACGGTTCACCCTGCATTATTCAATATTGTACCGAAGTCCAAAAAGCGCAACTGAGCTCTCAAACTTTCAGAAAATTGAAATGTATAATGCAGTTCGATTTAAATCAATTTTATTGTCCCAAGAAAATCATATCTTTATAATTAGGGACTACTTAGTACTAGCTATAAAGAATAACCCAATAATAGTAAGAGGAACAAAATACTTTAAAAATGAAGGAACACATGCGCATCTAGAAAACAAAGAAATTCAGTCAAAACGGTATCTCAAAATTGTGAAATTCATAAATGTATCAGAAACATTTCTATTCCATCGTTGTGAATAAAGAAATATCAAACTACTCNGACCTTATTACTTTATTCAAAGTGTTAGTCTGTAGTGAGTAAGAATTTCAATGATCTCAGTCCTCCATTCATTCGTAGGTCAGCATTTACCAATTCTGCCATAATTTTATCTCTTCCATGATCTATTCGTCTTCTTAACAATGATCTGATCGAGTATCTTGTTTTGGCTCTCGCTCAAGAGAGTCTATTATAAAAAAACCAGAGGTAATTATAAAAATATCATCTTCAGAAGGCATGATGAGAACTGTTCGCCTAGTGAAAAAGAGAGAAAACATTTCACAGCGAAACACGCGACTCAAACTAATTTTTGTCTGTTTGGAGAAACTCGAGTTTGTTTTCGAGACTGGAAAAAGCTTTTTCTTTCTGATTTTGAAAACGAAACTAGTCGCAAATGAGTCTACCTATCTTCCTTCAGATAGGTAATGGTAAAGCCAGTAATGTTTTATTTTAAGAATTAAATGAATATTATTTCAGCTGTGTATTTGCGAGGAACCATCCATTATCGATGCACTGTATTGTCTATTTATACCACTCTAAATCCGTAAAAGTTCCATATTATACGAGCAGCCGTCTGATTTTTCCTGACCACCAGCGGAAACCCTGAGAGACAAATTCGTTTCAATACTCAATGAATCTCCGATAGAAATAAAAGTGTACCAGACTTGGAAGAAACACCAACTCTTTTCGGAAAAGAAGACGTCAGAGCGGAGAATAATACCACACCATACCATATCACTCTCACCTGTTTAAACTATCAAATATCAACAATAAAATGTTCTGCTCAGATCGATCATCAGTTCCAAAGATTGCGCCACTCACAACTCATCCAGAAGAATCACTTCAAATCGTATAGAGGGAGCTATCCAAAGATGAGAACATGGAAGATAGAACAAGTTACCCATAGAAGTAACCATGAAATTAGTAGAATTAGTAGAATGCTATGTCAGGAACTGCTATTTCCAACGGATTCTTCTCACAAGAAACCCCTCGTCTGGTTAAGATACCTCAACAGTGTGAGACCTTTCATGTCATTAACAATATTGAGAAGAAAGTTCACAATAAATTGCTGTTTCAGTCGTAATGGTGAAGGGGAACGACAAGTAGGAAACATATGTATACCGAAAACCAACTGAAGCAGAACAATACCTGAATTACGAATCTCATCACGACCAATCTATCAAGAGAGGAATCGTCAAGACCCTAATTGACCGTGGATTCAAGCTCTTTAGCAGAATGGTTACTCCAAAAAGCCGGTAGAAGAGAGATCGTCACAACTAGATCTATTCCTCGCACTGTCGGAGAGGAGAAAAAGGGTCGAGTCAAAGTTCAATGATTGAACCTGAATATTACTAGAATTTTTTTCCAACACCAAACCGTTATTTCAACACCTCGATCAAACTGTTTGATCTTCCCCTTGAAGATTATCACTTGGTGATCGAAACACGTGTCGAGGTGTTGAAATAATGGTTTGGTGTTGGGAAAAAACAAATGTATCTACTTGTTATCAAAAAGTTTCTATTCAAATTGTTCCTTACATCATGGAATGTTTTGATGTATCTCAACGAATTATTCAATAAAATTACGAATTTTATCTGGTTAACTACTTTTGAAGATGAAACACGAAGGTATAATTCATTACTTCAGTGTCGGATTAATTGGGTGTAGTATTTATTAACTTTGATTGTAGTTTGTGTATAATTGGGTGTAATACCCATGTAGTTGGCGTTTAATCAGCTAATTATACCCTCACAGACAAAAATATTGCACTTTATTTCATCAAATCATCTATAGGAACAATTCATTCAGGCCAGTCTCAACTTCCTACACTGTAGGAAGTTGGGAGTAGGGAGTGATTTCATGTTCATTTCTATTTGTCTGAATCTTTATGCAGTTTTCATTATAAATTCACCTTTTAAGCTCCACCACCAAAGCTAACATTATATACAAGATTACATTCTGCGAAACGTTCTCCAGATCTTCTGTATACTCGACCACGTCCATCTGGTTTCCATAACGGTATTCTTGTTGATCTGTGAAAAGATTTTTCCCCGCTGATGTTCATTCTAGTTGACTTGGGTTATGGCAAATTGTGACGGTCTAGATTTGTGACGTGGGAGAAGCTTAGGAACTCTGGCAGGGCGTTTTGGTTTTGAACCAATTTCTTTGACACTTATGTTAACTTGTACTCTGTAAATCATTTGTAAGGTGCGAAGCTGTAAGCGTGCGATTTCGCAAAGATTGAAGTTTGAAATATTGATCATTTTTTGGCGTTGTACATCTCTTATGTGCTTGACCAGGCCGCCTTTTGTAGGTACTCTCCAGTCTCATTGTATCGCTTCACAATACGAGAAATATTGATGAATGTGTAATATTCGCGCAATATCTTCTTGTTTGCATCCCTCGTTGACTCAACAATTTTGACATAAATCGATTATAAAATAGATGAGAAAGGAAACAAAACTCACCATGACAGTGCCATTTCTTGTATTCCAATATATCAAAACTAATACGTTCAAATATTTCCATGCTTTTCATTCAGAATGTTACCAGTGATACATAATTAAACCCATGTTATACAATAAAATGTGTGAATGTTCCAAATAAAATAAGAAAGCATTAAATTTGAGAAAATTTACTCAATACGAAGATGTGTAAATCATGCAAAGAAGTAACTTTCAGACACAAACTGAAAAAGAAATCCCTTTCGAAACAGCTGCTTTCATATAAACATTGAATTACACAAAAAAAACTTTCGAAACAACTACTTTTATATGAACATTGCATTATACAAAAAACACTAAAAACACTTTTCTCCATCCCTATTATATTTCAAACATTCATTATGGAATTGAATTAGATTGCATTCACAGGATTTCTACACAATATAGTTGAGGAAGAGGAAAATTTCACTCACATGGAACAATAGCATCCTCACTGATGAACATCCGATATTTAGAAATAAGACACTTGCCTTATTGCCTCTTCAACACCAATCTGGATAACATTCTGAGATAACACTCAATTCATTCATAAAATTATGACTTTATGTCACGAATGAATGAGCCTTTTTCCTGAGAATAGTACAGCGAACGTGTCACGAGAGGCATCACTATTAGTAAGGACAAACATAAACTATTCACATGTAAAACAGTCTTATTTACGTAATATCAATTCATTATTTAAAAATATAAATCTGATATAAAAAATTATTTTGTGCTAGTATAATGCTAACAAAGCATTGCTGTTTTGCGAATTGTACGGAAGAAAACGTGTTTTTTATACCATTTATAAAACCTCATATTAATGAGGTTAGACGTAAGAAATGTTCAAAAGAAAACCTAGAAACTATTCTGCATCTTGTTGTCTACCATCGATCCAGTCAGTCCGCATGTTATGCAACATTTTATAAATCCAAGTCGGACCGAATGGGATGCCAGTGTTGATTGAAACTTTTTGGCCATTCTTGGAATTTTTATCTACTCTCCCGTCTTTCGTAAAAAAGTAGGAAGGTAGGTGAACAAAAAGTATTTTGAATCTTACAAAAAAATATCTCTCCACAAAAAATGTGTAAATGGTGCAAAGAAGTAACTTTCAGACACAAACTGAACGAGTCTGAACCGTAGAAACAGAATAGTTCAAAAAAAAGACACCCATCTGGGGGCACTTTGATGTTGAGGAGTCAAGATTCTATGTTGGAGATATATATCATTTTCAGAGGCAAATTAAAATAATTTGAGAGTTGTCCGATACACGTATTGTTTAATTGCTGTTGAAAAATCATCACGATATCACCTCGGTAAATGATTGGACCAATATTCAAACTAAACTAACTTTATTTGTCAAGTTCATGTTCACTAAAAACTACAAAATTTTTATGTTATGTTGATAATAATCAACTTTAGATTGTCATTTGTCAATAAATTTCATTTACCTGTTCTTTGCAGGGTACCTCGTCTGTGATGTATTCCGTGATAGTGAACTATAAAAACTTACTATCGTTTCATTTTGACGTTATACATGCGCTGCAGATGAGTAAACTATAAAAATACACTGAAGGTATTTCTGAAATGAAACTGATTGGAAACATATCAACTCATCACCCATGAGTTGTAACTCATTATGATTTACCTAATTCTCTTGAATATAAAAAAATTAATACATTCAGACGTGAAATTATTTACTAAATTAAAGTTGAACATCATCAAATGCATTTTTCATTTTGATGCAAACATTCTTCCCTATTATCAACCTTTGTTGTTTCTTGGGAATTATAATTATAAAGTAATACGATTTCCGGGTTGAACATGCCTCATGACGTATCAGCAAAGAAATTGAACTGTAAATTGATTATATTCAACTATATTGAAATTTTCAGGCTTATGGCACAGGTTCAGGCAGACAAAATTTTTGAAATAACAACAGCTTATACGGAGCGAATGAACCAACTTCAGAATCAACTGGATTCAAAAGACAAACTCAGCCATCAGTGGAGAAACGAAACGAAAATAATCATAGAAAAACTGGAAAAAGTAGTTGGGGATTTGAAAGCTGAAGTTCGCAAACTGAAAAAAGATAACTTGAAACTTAAAGAAGAATTGGATAAGTATAAGAACAAATTTGAGCAATATAGAAGCTTTCTTCAGATTATTTCACAAGATGTAAATAAGATCAGTTACAAGGCATTCAATAAAGACCAACCGGGATGATCTTTATATTTTCATTTCTTACGCCACAAGATCCTGCAGAAATATATTTGGGAACTAAAGAAAATCATGAAATGTTCGAAACCAATTTAATTTCACAAAAATCTAAGTATATTGAAGAATCAAAAAATCATTTGGAATCCAGTGCAACGTCCTCTTGTAGAAATATTTGTAATTTTTCAATTTGCTTCTCAACACTGGACTTTGCTGTCCCTCCGGTGGCTTGATACTGTTCAATACTATTTTCGTAATTCCAAACTTTTTCAATATCGTGTTCAAAATGTTCACTGCAATAAAACAACAATATTTAATGTCTGTGACAACAAGAATTTCGTGTTCAGAAAGTTCATCCTGAGAATTTTGTATATAATCAAATTAATTATGATTTGTTCTTCTTGCCGCTAGAAGGTAAGCAAGAGTGTTTGTTGAACACCAATAGTAATAGTAAAACTTGTACTCTATTTATTCAAAGCTCTTTTTTCAAACTTTTCGAAAAATACACCTCAATACTAACCCGAGAATTATAAAACAAAAAGTAAGATATTCCAAAAAATATCCAAATATTGTTGTAGTTTTTGCTCTTTACTCTGCTCTTTGAACTATGGTGTTTATTCTTTACAATTAAATTAAACTTGACGTTCTGTGAATTGATTTTGTGAAAGGACTTGCGAACATCTCCGGCAAAAATCGGTTAAACTCATCTCTTTTAGCTATTGAAAGGAATGCCGGTGCACACATTTGATAAGAACCACAACAGTGATGCATTATTCGTCGCTGAGAGGGTGCTAAGAACTATTTTTCAAAAATAAAAGAGGTCTTGTGATAACTCATTGATAGCCGGTCGGTTCGACGTGGGTGCTTTGTTCACTCAGTCAATCGGCCGATGTATGAGTCGATGATCAAGCCCCAGGCTGAATAGTCGATTTTCACTTGCTATCGCCCAACCCGTGTTAGGAATCACACGTTAAAAGGTAAGACCTCGTTAATCCTTAGCTCGCACAAGTTTTGACTTCGGAAGGTTGTCGTTAGTAGGGGTGCGATAGCTGATTAACGGAAAAAAACATATTTTAAACATATTCAAATAAGTATTTCAATTCTCTAACCAATATTCCAATGTTGGAAACCGAATTAGCCGTTCTCGAGTAATTAGCAGTTTAATATTCGTTTTGAGAATCTACAAACAAACCGTGGATTTCATCATTCACTCCCTGACGAAAATAGAATTTGTTTAAAAGTTTTTTCCACATTATGAAATGTTCCTAGAGTAATATACTTGCAAGCACCTCTTTTTCTTCTGAAATGAAGTCCGATGGTGTCATATCAGGTGATGTAGTTAACTCTTCTAAGAGATCACATTTGTCTATCTACCGGTTTCGAAAACTGTCAAACCGAGTTTTCAACTAAAATTAGGTGTCGGGTACCAGTTCATTACTACAGCTGGTTTGAAAGTGGCTAAATGACAAGTATCCAAACCAGTCGGAAATTCAAGGTGCAAGATGCTCACGTTAATGACCGCAGCAACCTTTCAATATGAGGGCATCTGTAAGGTACACCGACAATTGATAATACATCAGCCGTCAATCCATGCGAAGGGCTTCTTCGCTTTTTCGTTTGAGTATAATATTTGGTGACCTGCTCAGAGGGAGTTTAATTCCTGTCCTAATACAGATTTAGCTTCTGCTGGTTGAGAATAGATGCATGGCAGATCCATAAGATTTCCTGCTCTTGTGGAGGCAATAATTTGCTTCCCTGCAGCACCACCTAGCATCCTAGTTTATTAAACAGCAGTGGATATCTGAGAATCCACTCTGTAGTTTCAGGGTCAGATTCATTGACTTAGTCCTACAAGGACATTTTCAAACAAATACAATAAACTGCTCATTCTTATGGTGATCTCCTACCACATAGTATAGGCTACATTCATCAATTTATTGAAAGTATAAGAATTCATGTTCCAAAGTTAACCTTGTTTTAATAACTCTTGATCTAATATTGTATTCAAGTGTGAACATATCAATGTAATGTTGCACCTCTTAATGGGTGCAGAAGAATGTTTTTGTAACAAGATTCTTATGTAAAAGAAACAAAATATTAGACAAATCTTGAATCTACACTGTAAAAAAAGTATAAGAGTATGTATTTGAATGAAGTCTTCATGTTTCGATGCCGACGTTTCGATACCACCCGTTCGTCCCTGACAATTCGACGCCGTCTATTTCGACTCCAGGTAATATTCAATGCCTATTTTAACAATGCTACAATGTTTGACCGATCGATCTTCATGATTAGTTGGATAACTTTTTTTAAATTTAACTTCGGGACGGTATCTGATTATTTCTCGAAAAAGGAAAACAACCGATATTCTATCGAAACAGGGCAACCAGACATTTAGCCATGATGACTATATCTTTTGTTTTAACAGATATATTACTGATCAGAAAAACAATATTGGATTTGTGTACTCATGGAACTGGCGGTATAATTTTGAATAATGTATATACTGTTGCTTCCAAATTGGTTAAATGTCCTCTACCGCCCAATGAAACTCAGAGAAAACAGGCGGATATGCAAGCTCAACAGAACGCCACTGAGTTTCATCAGATAAAAAAGGTTTGAATAGATAGAACCTTTTGTTTTCCCACATTATACGTCCCAAATAAATAAGCAAAAATTTATAAAGCGATAATCCAAGCAATTGAAGAAAGTTTACCTAGGATTTGTTCCCGATTCATTATAAACAGATTTTGTACAATTTGTTTTTGATTATTACAGAATTGTCTTCCGGATGTGAAATTTTGTATTGCCAATATCATTTGAACACAAAATATGACAAAAAATGATATGAATTCCGTTAAATAGGTAATTGTAATAATGAAGCAAACTTCTCAATTCATTAAAACATAACCAAATCACGAATAGGTGAATCTGTCCCCTTTTTTTTGCACTTTTTGCGGGTATTGATCGAGTTATATTGTTAAGGCCGGTCCAGACGCTACAATTTGCACAACGTTTTATTTGCGCAGTTTAAAGATGGAATGAAAACGTTGCAATTGTTGGAGCGTCCACATGGTGCGGAGTTATCTGTGGATTTCGCTCAGTTTGTTATTTTATAAACTGGGGACAGTACTGTCCGCGAAGTTATCTCCGTTGAAAAATCATCATTTGTTCTCAGCCTCCACGCTTTTTCTTCCTCAACTCAGGCTTTTATAATCAGTGATAATCATGGAGGAGGTACTACTCTGATCAATTTTGGCATGCTGTCTTGTGAAAAATGAAAGATTGAACCGTCTCAGAAGTACCAGGCGTTCAAAGTGGACGAGGAAGTGGCTTCTAAAAAGGCAGCACTCTTCCCATATTACATTACTGCGTGAATTACGTGATGAACCTAATGATTGGAGGAACTACGTGAGAATGGACAAAAAAACGTATACTAATTTATTGGAATTAGTAACACCGCATATCATCAAAGAAAATACTTGTATGAGAACAGCAATATCACCACATGAAAGGCTGACGGCAACTTTAAGATTTTTGGGCAACTGGCAGAAGTTACAAAGACCTAGAATTCACAACAATAATATCGAAACAATCCTTAAGTGAAATCATTCCCGAAACATGCAAAGTTATTTTCAAGGTGCTGAAGAATGAATACTTGAAGGTAAGTCATAATGCTATTGTCTATAAAAGATTTATATTTATAATAACCTTAAAAACATCAGTGTTTCACAATACTTAGGGTAAGCAGAATGAAAATGCAGGCATGTGTCTCAGTTTGGTTGATATGTTGACAAGAAGTTTGCAGCAGAAAAGGGGGCAAGGACTTGATGTGTGTGTGTGTGTAGATCTTCTTCACCATTCTGTGGGATGATGCATGAAACTGCCGGAATTTGGCTAATTGTTTCATACTCATGAGTGCGTGTAAGTTGTTCTGGGACATAGTTATGTGGCATAGGCTGCAACTGCTGCGAGAAGGAGTGGTATGGTCCAACTTGTGAAGAAAGAGTATGTGGCATTCTCAATTGTTGGGGCATATTCTGTTGACGCCAATTCCGCCCATTCATTAAACCAAAATCATCTTATCGCTGGCTAGTCATATCAACAAGTTGAAAATTTCTTGTTAGTGTACCCAACTCCACTTCGAATAAAACATCAGAAATTAGTTTCTGAGCGATTGCGTTTTGTGAACTAGGGACATCTCGGAGTTTATTACCAACATGTTTTCCAAACACGTGGAAAGCATCCTCTGCCTGTAGCGACTCCAGTTTCTTTCCTACCAACTTCATAACGTCACTTGTGTCATCATCATTTGGAACTGCCTTTCTCTTATAAACGGTAGGATCTCAGATGGAGGGGTCATAAATAACACTACATTTTATGAAAAGCTCGTTGACAACGAGTTGAGCATTCCAAAATACCGGTGCATTGGAAGTTCAAACAGAGTTTTAGGATACGTTGTTGTTGGTGATGAAGCTTTTGCTATGAGTCGAGAACTTCTTGAACCTTATCGACGAGAAGCATTAACAAGGGAGCGAAGAGTTTTCAATTACCGCCTATCTAGGGCGAGGCGTGTTGTTGAAAACACATTCGGAATTTTGGCTTCAAGATTTCGTATTTTCCAAACAAGTATTAATTTGAAGCTGGACAACGTCGATACTATAGTTCTTGCGTGTTGCGCTTTACACAACTTTTTGCGCAGAAGATCACCCCAAAACTACACACCTCCTGAAAGTATGGATCGGGAAAATATTTCTGAATGTACTATTGAATTAGGTGAAAGATGTGACCTACAATTATTACACGACCTACAACGTGGAAGAAGAGGCCAGATTTTCAATAATGCTATCACAGTCAGAGAACAATTCAAAGAGTACTTCAATAACGAGGGGTCTGTGCTTCTTACCTGTTCTGATGGTTCATCAACTTCCGACTCGTCATTTTCAATCATGGTATTCCTAGATTTCCTTGGTGTCTCCTGATCATTTAGGAAGTGTAACAAATCAAAATACCACAGAGCTGGCTTGTAGATTTCGTCTTCTCCAGCCCCAGATCGATTCGATTTATTGCATTTTGCTACTTCTTTACGGTAAACACTTCTCAACGAATTAATTATTTTAACAACTGTTTCTCTATTTGCAGTAGCATCAATTTCTTTAAATTTTTCGACTAACATTTCATACGCCTGCGCCTTCTTATCCCTGTCACTATACTCCTTGGATTTGATACGCCAAAGGCATGGAAAACTTTCATATAATGCAATAAATTCTGTGAGAAACTTCCGAGAACATTGCCGCAGGTCACTCACAAACAACGAAACTGGTGAACAAAACAAGTCGGAAAAAGGAGCGTCCGTCTACATGCACCGACTTGTCCGCGCAGTTCCAGGATATATGCTCCGAAGCTCAGATATCGCTGCCACTGTACGCTCTTCGCGCCCGTTTCAAAACTGCACAGATTTCCACACGTAACGTTTCATCTGTAACGTGTTGAACTGTGCAGACAACACGTTGTACAAAACGGAGTGTCTGGACCGGCCTTTATATTCGCAAAATTCAGGTAAATTGTAATAAAAAAAAAATTTAACTTGATCAGAACGATATGTTACTTGAATTGAAAGGTTATTTTTTTATTATTTAGGAGTGAGTAATTTTTGTATCGAGATGGAGTAGTAGAAAGCCATAAACTTTCTTTCCCGATATGTTACTCTTTTAAATTGCAATTAGAAAGAGATTTAGAGTGTCTCCCATTATTGCCCATCCTAAACATGGAATTCAATATTGTTCAAGAAAAATTCCACACAGCTAAGCAAATATTAAAGTATTTACCTAATCAGTTTCAATTCTCCTAACGTCAAATCACTGAGGTTGACCTTTTTCTTCTCTGATTCGGAAACCACCTGGCCTGCTAGATGATGAGCTTCTCTGAAAGGAACACCTTTTCTCACCAAATAATACGCAACATCGGTTGCCAACATTTCCAAACTCAGAGCTGATCGACATTTATCTTCATTAACTTTCAATGTTTCAACGGTACCTATAGCTACATCCAGTAGGGATTTCAATTTATCGAATGCCTTAAACATGGCTTCCTTATCACTTTGCAGATCTTTGTTGTAAGTTGACGGTAAACTTTTGAGAACCAAAACAAAGGAGCAACACTGAAAAAAAATATGGTGAGATGAGAAAACATTCTCCGTTTTGGATTAGCTAAATAGATGTATGGATAGTTATTTTAAGCAGGTAAAACACCCAGTTACGGAAAATGCTTCATGCAAAATATTCAATGAACAAGTACAATAGTATCAATTTTCTAGTTCTCCACACTAGTGGACAAAATAGTACAATGTTGCCAGATTGAATTGAAATCCTGACACACAATAACAACTTTTTCATGATAGCTACAAATATCTGTGGTTCAACCATTTATCCATAAATAATCAAAAATGATAAGATGAAGATAGATTTTGACGGTTATTCTGTTTATTGATACAAGTTTTGCTAGTGGAAAATTGATTAAATAACTTTTTCTATGACTAGAGGAAAAAAACGTCAATTGCATGAATATTTCTTATTAGGTAAGCAGGTAAAATGATCCATAACTCACTTCTTGGATAAGCAAATTCATAACTTCATTGTCGTTAGGAAAAAAACTGTTTGACGTTCACTTATCCATCTTAATACAAACAAAATTGTGGAAACGCAAAGGAAGGAAGAAAGAAATTAAGTTCAAAGTAATCTCTTCACGAATATGTTAGTGCCATAGGCGTATTACATTCAAATCATTAACTCTCAACGAATTGAATAAATGAATTTATACGACGAAAATACAAAATTTATTCTTGAAAAATCTCATTCATAACAAACAAAATAACAAATCAACTACGACAAATGTGAAAATATGTCCAGTAGTAACCAATCGAATTGAATAAATGAATAAACAAAATTCACTTTTGAAAAATCTCATTCATAACAAACAAAATAACAAATCAACTACGACAAATGTGAAAATATGTCCACTAGTAACCAAGAAATTATCCAACAAATAAGTATATAGTTGAAGGGGATTAAAAAAACATTGTTTCTTTAAGGCGGTATCAATATAGATTCCTTTGAATTATACCGTCAACAAACACACTGCACCCATTAATAGGACCGACTTGGCTTTTTCCATAGGAAAAAAATATTACATTATTTTCTATTGGAAGTTTAAAGGGCATGGCAGAGGCACAGTAGAATAACACAACAAGTAGGCTCTCTTACCATCCGCCCGAGTTGCCGGGCACCTTCAACCGCTCTTAGGATGAGATTCTCATCCAACGCGTTCAGTGCTGTAGTATCGAAGGATTCGACGGTACCACGGTCATCGGATAATAAATGGTCGGAAATTGATATTGTGTTTAGTTTATTCGCTGTTGTTATTATTGTAAGTGATTAGAAAATGGGAGATGTAAAAAAGACATTATTAAAGAGATCAGTAAATGTATTCTGCTTCAATGATTGCAAAAACTAGGCGTACAATTGTGGTGAGAAATTTCATAGATTCCCGAAAGATCCCGAAAGGTAAGTAGTACCTGATAAGTTGTTCAATCTGCAGCATGCTGCAGATCTGATTTTCTTAACAAATTAGAAACACTGTACAAAAGCAGTTATCGTTTACGTGGCAGTCATTTTGAAAATGTAGACACAAGAAAAAACTTCTACGACAAAATGCTGAACCAACGATATTTATCGGGACATCAAAGTGAATTACTTATATAGGTATGATAATGTCGTTTATAATGATTATGTTTTACCATTTTCAATTTTAGGAACCTCTGAGACAAACGACACGCCATTATTAGATTTGGTCATCCCTTCTACTTCAACGTCATTCCCAAAATCTATTACATTGCAAAGAACCTCTGAGAAAGACGACGTACCACTAATAGATTAAGAAAATCTCTTTTACCCCAACCTCGTCTCCCAAGTCTAGTACGACTTATGTTCAGACACCTGCGATTTTATCAAGCCATACACCTAGGAAGGAAAGACTGAGAAAAGACGTTACAAAAGGAAAACGTTGCTTTAAAAAGACAAAACGAAAAACCGTGCAAAGAAAATGAAGGAAACTTGCAAGAACTGATCATTAAGGCTTGCTCATCAAGAGAGACCGCTGATTTTTCTCAATTTACAATTATGCCTAAGTCAAAATGCCCCCAAAGTTTGAAGATATAGTTTGAATTCAAATGCAAATGTTTATCAATATATTTTTCCGGGCCTAATGTAAAAAACATTGTTTTAATTAAACTGTTTTGTTTGTCAGCGCCACAAGCTCTAAGAAAATTATTTATTGGATTTAGTGGATGGGATCTAATAACATCTTGAATGTTTTTCCCGATAATCAATTTTTTTATGTAAATGACCAACAATGTTTGATTGAACTCAAGGCTTTTTGGAGTCGAAAGTATCCACTGGCAGAAAGTGTTTGGTTATCGACGAAGAAGTCAAGAATTCTATTACTCCTAATAGGACAGAGATTGTAGAATGGTGAAACTATTCAAGAGAAATAAAGAAAGCCAGAACACTGGGTAAATACATTTTTTGTTTGGATGAAACATGGGTCGAAGAGGGTCATACCGTCTCGAACGTTTCGCAAGACCAGAACATCAAAAGTGGAAGACGAACCTTCATCGAAGGTTGGTCCATTGGTTTAAAAATTTCACTTGGAAAATGTCGTCATCTGATCATAACTCACATAGGCAGCACCTCGGTAGTAATGGATAATGCAAGTTACCAGAGTAGACGATTCGAGAATCTAGCGACATCGTGTTGAAGGAAGGCATATATTACTGAGTGGTTACAAATGAAACCTATTCCTTTCGAGTCAACCATGTTGAAAGCGGAGCCCCTCAACTTGGCCAAACTTCATAAGTCAAAATTTGTCAGGTATGTCACCGATGAGATGGCGAAGACCGAAGGAATGTCGGTTCTTCGGTTGCCGCCTTATCACTATGAATTGAATCCAGTAGAATTGGTTTGGGCTCAAGTTGAAGAATTCATCGCAAGGAATAACAAGAACTTCAAACTGTGTTGAGTGAATAAACGCCTGTACTGCCTGTACGACTAAAAAGCTTAGGAAAAATGTATTCACAAAACAATCAGAATCGAAGTAGAGATGTGTGACCTAGATGATCGATAGACTCATTATCAGAAAAAAGAATTCCTGACGACATCAATCCCAATGAAACTGATTCATTCAGTGAAGAATATTTCAACAAATAATATTCTGATTATTTTATAGATCTGTAAAAGGTAACAATCCTAAATAAAAAACTATTGCAAATATAAATTGTCGTTCTCAAAATAAAATATTTAAACAAAATCAGTTTTCACGATATTTCAATTATCTTCGCATCGTAGAGATTATATCATTGGAAAATGTATATTAATACCTCCAGTCCGACGCTCATTAATACTGTCTTTAACGCACTATGAGAAAAAGTGTCGGCCATCTCTTTTGACGTTGTTTGTCGCAAGTCACTATTTTAATGGCTCGTTAGCGACGTCAAGGAGCATTGCGAGTAGAAATATTTCAGTGACTTTGTGGATGAATTGCAGTGCCACTAGCTTGAGACGACTATGTTGCTTTCTTTGATGAATCGGCATGTTTGTATTCTTGAAATTCTTTCACTCTCAGACAATACCGAATGTACTATAGATTATTCATAGGTTAAGTAACTTTGAGATACCAACTGTCGTATTTCAATTATTTTCATTTGGAAATAAACCTTGAAAATGTACCCAATTCAGATCGTCAAACTCGATCATTGAACTGACAGCTCCTCCTGAAATATATACTCGTAGTTTCTAACAAAAAAAAAGAATATTAACATGGATTGAAAACAAGTAAATACCACCAGAAATTCATAATGTGATGAAGGAACAGATATTTTTCAAAAAATCATCACTTGATAACAAGGCAATTAAAATTTGAATAGTTTTATGTCACAACTTATATACATGATTATAGTATTGGAGAACGCGAACTGAAAGCCTGTGTATCAATTAGAGGTGGAATTCACCGTTGGTTTGAAAGTTTTCCAGTAAGTAGTTTGTGAAGATATAAAATAGTATTAGTCATTATAAAAAATCATCACATGGGGTTTCACAGGGATCAGTATTGGGACCTTTATTATTTTCTATTTACCGGCCAACATTCCAGAGAGGCCAACCACTGAAGAAGTGGCACCAACCCCAAAAGAAAAAGAAGTGGTACCAACCACAAAACCAGGTAAGCCGCCACCAATAGTCTTACACGTTACCAAGAAATAGAACGAGGTATCAAAAGATCTCGAAGCAAAGAAAATTGGTTACAACAAAGCCAAACTAACGAGAGACGGGATATATTTACATACAAATGATGAGGCAGAATGGCGTAAAGCCACCAGATATCTGGAAGACAAAAAATTGGACTTCCATCAAAAGACACGCGGTCATCTGCGGAATTCCAGAGAATGAGGAAGCGGAAGACATTGGAAACGACCTGACGAAAGAACGTTTCACGGTGCTTGAAGGTCACTGTATGATATCAAGGCGAAACAGGAAGGTGCTACCACTATTCCTGGTGGAAGTGCCAAAAAAAGAAGTGAAGATATTCGCACTGAGAACGTGCGTGAACCTAATAGAGCGGGCGGAGCCGCAAAGAACAAATAAGTGACTAGTGTCTCAATGTCACAGGTGTCAATTCTTTGGACACTCGCAAAGATGCTGCCATTCAACGGCACATTGCGTGAAGTGTGGTAAAAACCACGAAAGCAGAGACTGCAAGAAGACAACAGATACGCCAGCGAAGTGCGCGAACTGCTTGGAAGCGCACCCGGCAAGTTATAGAGGTTGTAAAATGTTCCCGAAGCCGAGGACAACAACATGCAACTGGCCCAGAGAAGCCGAAAGACAGAGGCCTATACAGCAGCCGTCGGCCAAAAAGACGACCCTACAAAAAAAGTAATCAGACAGCGGCAACGAACTAATCAGAGTTCTGAGTAAGCTAACGACGGAACAGCAATAGATCGCGCAAGCGGTCTTTGCTGCACTAATTCAAGCACCCGGAAGACAGTAATGCCTGCAGGAATCCCGGAACAACTGAAAATAGGATCGTGGAATATAAACGGTTCCACAGACAGGCAAAACGAGCTACTGGAGCTGCCATCGCGTCTAGACATAGACGTCATGGAACTGCAGGAGACAAGGTTGAGAAGCGAAAAGAGCTACAGAATCCCAGGATACAACGTATATAGGACAGACAGGCCAGGGAGGCGCCGCGCCGCGGGGGGGGGAGGGGGCGGCGCTACTAGTAAAGAATATCGTCGGTATACCTGCCTCCACAAAGTATAAGATTAGAAAGAACCGACATAGCAGAAATTTTTCCAGACCACCACCCAACAGTTGCCATCGGCGACTTCAACGCAAAGTCGCGAGACTGGAACTGTAGTTATGGAAATAAGAGAGGCAAAGATCTAGTCAGAATTCTAGACAAATTTGAGGACATCGTGGTAGTAGCACCGAACACACCAACGCACTACCCACGAGAAGACCAAGTCCCTGACATTCTTGACATCGCACTAGTGCAGAACATCGATACTACGGAGATGGAAGTACTAGACGAAGGTTCGTTAGACCACAACCCCATCCTGTTTACAATAGGAAGAGGTAAAGTGGAAGCAGACAACCCAACAAAGCGAGTCATCGACTGGATGAGATCCCAGCGCGCCATACACTATGCGATGGGTGAGATACCACGCATCGAAACAAGAACAGATCTCGAGAGCGCCACACACCAGCTGCAATAGGCGATCATTCAAAAGATGGAAAGAAGCGCACGAGAAGTCCCAGTCCTGCCCCTTAACTTCCAAGAGCATCCACCAGAAACGGTGGAATTCATCAGAATAAGAAGCAATTACCCGTCTGGAAGAACTGAACACTGAAGACCAGTCTGCATGGAGAATGCAGAAACAACTCAGGAATGGACCTCGACAGACATGCCCGCCAATACACGGCGAGTAAGGAATCGTATACACTGAAGAGGAGAAGGCGGAAGCATTCGCGGACAACTTCGAAAGGCAGAGCAGAGAGAACAGCGTCCCGTTCACGGATGAGGTAGACGAAATCGAGAGACAGGTGGAAAGAACGGTAGGAAGAATAAGACAAATAACGGACAATGCGCAACCCCTGGCCCCGACATCTCCCAAAGAAGTGAAAGACATCCTTAGACGGCTATCCACTCGAAAAGCACCAGGCCCGTATCGAATAACAAACCGGGAACTAAAAGTCCTACCACGCAAGGGTTTGGCAGCCATAACCAACATCATAAATGCTATACTCAGACTGCAGCACTTCCCGTACCCGTTCAAAGAGGCAACGGTAAACCACATCCCGAAGCCCAAGAAGAACCACCTGTTCCCAGATAAGCATAGGCTAATTAGCTTACTGCCTTCCATAAGCAAAGTGGCGGAGCAGGTCATCTTGAAGAGACTCGAAGATCAAACCAGAGAGCTAGGAATCCTCCCGGATGAACAATTTGGTTTTAGATCAGAACACTCGACAGAGCTACAAGTTCTGAAGGTAGTAGACTTTGCGACCGAAGGCTTCCACCTCGGCAAAGGATACAACACCGGAGCTATCTTCTTTGACGTCTCCAAGACGTTCAACAGAGTATGGCATGACGGACTACTAGCCAAGATGAGCGATTTTGGATACACAAAACCAATGGTAAGATTAATTTATATCCTTAAATGAAAAACTATACAACATGGAAGCTAGTTGTTCGGGAACCGTAAAGCGTCCGAAACTGCTAGCATTAAATATAAATGGCAAAACAATTGTTTTGAATGATTATAATTCTTCAAGAATACAATATCCACCCGAAATAAAAAGTAAGGAGTAAAGGTAGTGCGAAAATGCTCGAGTCTGATCGGTGTCAATAGATCAACAATTTTTGGAGTTCTTAAGGAACTCAAGAAAAACAACAGCTTTTTGGACCCGAAAGTATCCACTGGCAGAAAGTGTTTGGTTATCGACGCAGAAGTCAAGAATTCTATTAGGAGAATAGGACAGAGATTGTAGAATGAAGAAAATATTTAAGAGAAATAAAGAAAGCCGGTACACTGGGTAAATCAATTTTTTGTTTGGATGAAACATGGGTCGAAGAGGGTCATACCGTCTCGAAGGTTTCGCACGACCAGAACATCAAAAGTGGAAGACAAGCCTTTATCGAAGGTTGGTCCATTGGTTAAAAAATTTCACTTGGAAAAGGTCGTCGTTTGATCATAAGTCACATAGGCAGCAGTGAGGAATTCGTGAAAGATGGATTGATGCTGTTTGAATCGAAGAAAAATGGGGATTATCAGCAAGAAATGGATGCCACAGTATTTGAAGAATGATTCATAAACATACTTGTGAAACTTCCGCAGGGATTCTTGGTAGTAATGGATAATGCAAGTTACCACAATAGACGATTCGAGAATCTGCCGAATGCAAGTTTAAAATTGACAAGATCTCACTACCAACGTGAGGGACGCTCTTCACTGTCTCTCCTTCTCGGCAGGGTCGTGAGGGTGACTGTTTAGGAATTCCCCCCTCTCGACTCCCTAGGAGTGCATACAGTTGGGATATACATGATTTGTGAATAAAGACTTTTGATTTTGGTAATTGTATTCTGAGATCAGGAGTTTCAATCCCACTGAAACAAGATTAGCTTAATTTTTTTCAGCCACTCATTTGAAATTGAATCATATAATAAAAGTAAGAAATATTTTTCAATAATGTTTCAGGTTGCTTTCTGTTACGAAACGGGATATTCTTCACAAATAAAACTTATTTTGAAAACTCCTGATATAAGTTATAAAAAGAACAGTATTCCACTCGTCAAAAATTGTCAAATACTCGTCCATATGATTTACGACAAACTTCATTCTCACGAGAAATGAACACATTTATTGCTCGTTGAAATAATATACTATTTTAGCCATAAGTTCCCGCATTTTTTCTCATCAACGACTACTTACTTCACCAAACAAACTTCCTCCTATTCCCCTTATCAATTCTAAACTATCTGGATTCCTTTTTTGAGGCATTAGACTACTCCCAGTCGAATATGCATCTGAGAGATTGATGAAACCAAATTCTTTTGAACTGAATAAAATCAGATCTTCTGCAAGCCTGCTGAGATGGATCCCCACCATGGACGCCCAAAATAAAAATTCCGCTGAAAACAAAAACCTCATTCATATGACAGATTATGAAATGTCTCTCAAAAACAGCTGACTTTGAGAGAGAACAATACTTAGTAAGTTAGTATGACGAAGATATAATTTATGATGTCGATGGAAAATGTATCCAAGGATCCCCGACCACGGACTTTTCAAAAAGCAAACTTCAAGATATGTTCATCTTGCACCAATGGTGTTTGACTTTACTTAGGATTATTGATAAGTCAATGAAAATAATATTTGAAGAGTATAGAATCAATAACGGCATGAAAGTAGTTATAGAAATAAAATATTATGCTCATAACGGAAATAAAAAATTGAAGTCGATTCAAGGTACAAAGGGTTGAAATGAGGTGAATGTCTGGGATAGTGAATGGTTTTTCTCAAAATTGAAACTATACCCTCTATGAAATGAAATTGAGCTCAAAAGTTTTCAACAACCATTTTCCGAGAGATATTGGAAAACCTGTTTTTCTGCTCTCTTAGAACAATCTTCAATTTTCAACATTATTTGGTAGTAACCCACTTTTTGTATTATAAATATGCTGCAATTTTTTTGAATCTTGATATTCACTGAAACATTTTATTTTGTTATTAAACTTAAAAACAAACAATCTTCAACATAAAATTCCCGAGTGCTGAAATAGCATTTTATGTTATTTATTTATGAGTCCGGTAGGTGATTAAAAGTCTATTTTGCAGTTTTCTAATATTTTTCATTTATTCATTCATTAAAGTTGGTAGAAACATTTATTTCACAAACAAAAGTACTTACATTTTCAATAGGTTTCAATAAATATAAGGTTCAATAAAATGAAAATTACCGATTTTAGTTGAGCAAAATATACAAAAAATAATAATCAGGAGTATGTTCCATGGTTTTCCAATATTTTTCATTCACTAAAGTTGGTAGAAAAAATGATTTCACAAGTAAAAATGTCTAAACTATAAGTACATATATAGGTTATGAAATAAAAATTAGTAATTCTACGTAAGCTAAGTAGTATAAAAATAGTAATTTCGGTCTATTTCATAATGATATTCTTCATTCACTAGGGTTGGTTTAAGAGAAGTTGGATATGTATGGCCGTGGATGTTTTTCCCCAATAGATTTTAGAGACGGCGGCAAACAGTATGTATTTTTTTTAGTTGGCTATAACTTTGAATTTGGGCAGTTACTTTCGTAATAATTATATGTCGTTATTATTATTATCTTAGTTCATGTCAATATGGCAAAAAATAGTGTACATAGGTTGCACATGTTCTACAAATTTCAGTGAAATTTCTAATTATCATTTTTGAGTGAGAACTGGTCTAATGTCGAACACATTACGGTATCGATATACCGACCACAAATGAGTAAAGGGTAAGTTGATTTAATGGACAGAATAAAATAAACAGTACTTGTCAGAAAATCATTTTTGGATTGACTGTTTGAAATTTTTGATATTTGAAAAAATTATCATTTGAAATTTTTGAAAAACTTGAAATGCAATGTCATATTATCAAAAGAAGTGATTGCAAATCGTTGTAATACAGAACACGTATTTTCTGAGTATCAAATGAGCAGGTTTCAAATCGATTAGGTTAGAAAACAATTATACCCAACAATGTAGATAATTCATAAAATATTTTTTATATCATTAATTCTCAACCTGATATTATTTTTTTGAAATTGAATATATGCTTTCTGAACTCCAATTCAACAAGAAATACTTTTTATCATATCTCCTGATCATAAAAACTTTCTATTTTCGTTAATCGTGAAATGCTGTTCCTTCATATCGATAAAATTTTCTTAAAAAATTAATGACAACTCTCGAAAGTCAAAACTAGCGCGAGCTAAGGATTAACGAGATATTACTTTTTACCGTGCGATTCCTAGCATATAACACCAGTTTTATGATCAACTTGTCAGATTTTCGTGAATAATTTACAAAACATACCAATGAAATCCCTGTCACTAACAGCTTGCATACTGTTTGGGGTAATTTCTTCAAATTTCAAAGAGTTGGCTAAGCTGATACGATCAATACTGAATGGGTTTCCTGCTAAAGCACCACTTCCTAATGGCATAACACTTGTTGCCTTTCGAAAGGTTCCCAATTTGTCATTGTCGTTCTTCAAACTCCAAGCGTGACTAAAATCGAGATATACAAATATATTTTTTTTGTTTCAAATTCTGCAGAAATCAACCTTTATATTAATGGAATCAATCACATTTTCGAATCAAAATTTTAAGTGATATTCATCGATGACATTACATTATTAGCAAAAACTAAAAAAGTACTGAGTCGTAAGCAAAATATCTAAAATGGCGAAGATATTTGGATTGAAAATCAACCAGGAAAAGACAAAGTACATGGCGATGAGAGATTCAACATAGACAGTGAAACAGAATTGAAGGTACCATTTGGGTGGAGAAAAAAACCTTCATTTTCGAAAAAGTCAAAGAATTTACATATTTATAGAATGATAAGAACATTATAATAAAAGTGGAAATGTGAGTCGAAAAAAGCCAGGGAAATATTTTATTAAGTCACTAATTAGGGCAATAGCGATATATACAAGTGAGGCGTGGGTGCTGAACAAAAGTAAAGAAGAAAAATTGGAAAGGTGTGAGAGGAAAACATTACGAATAATATAGGGATGGTTACTTACATGGCTAATAAAAATTTGGAAAATTTTTATAAAGCCATAGAGTCAGATGGATTGGACATGTTTATAGATTGAAATATAACAATTATATAATGATACTGAATGGAAAAGCAATTGGAAAAAAGTGAAAGGGGAGGCTGCTAAAGAATGGCTGGAAACGGTACCAAATAATTTGGAAAGAATGAACGTCGAGAACTGGAGAGACAAGATAGTCGATAGAAGAGTTGGAGAGGAGCAGTAAGCGAAGCCAAAGAGAGACTTGAAAGATACTCATGCACAAGGACTACAAGTCCTGTTCAGCAAATATACTACTCGTACTTTGTTCAAAATTAGTGAGAGGTTAAAATAATCCTCATTCTCACCAAATTTTTCACGCCATCAGTGAAAAATTGAAAGTGTTTAGGATCAACATAGGTTATTTCCTGATGTCGCCAAATTGGTAAGTGAAATCGGGAAAAATATCACATCATAATATGATAATTATTCACCTACACCAGTAGTTTCGATTTTGATTTTTAATGCTACTAAGAGTTTAGTTCAATATCTGCAATTCTGAATATTACTAAACCATTATTTCAACACCTCGACACGTGTTTCAATCACCAAATGATCATCTGTTTCTGTTTATCCGTTAACCAGATGTCGCATCCCTACGAACGACAACCCTTCTAGAGGAAAATCAAACTTTTGCTTCATGTTTGGTGTTGGGAAAAAACTCCAGATCAAAAGTTTGATCTTCCTCTTCAAGATGATCACTTGGTGATCCAAACACATGTCGAGGTATTAAAATAAAGGTTTGGTGTTGGGAAAATTCTCAAATAATATTCATTACTACACCAAAGGTTCCAAACAGTGCATCACAAATCTGCACTTGTGGCCTTTGATCGAAAAATAAGAAACTATTTGTGAGTAGGAAAGATCAGATCTGTCAGAACTTACCTCAACAGAAAGTGACTCCATCTGACAGGTTGGGCTCTCTGTAGATGAGTATACCCAGGCATAATAATATCAATTTCTTGGGAAGCCCTGAAGACCATTTTCCTAATCAAATGCCTGATACCTTCATCCAATAATTTCGTATTTGATAATAACCATAATTTCATATCTGTAGCTACCTGGTCATTTCTACTCCTGCCTACGTGAAGCTTTGTAGCAGGTTCTCCGATGATTTCCTTCAAATTAAAACATTTATATATTTCAGGTTCACGTATATTACCTACTTCGAGTACATTTGGCTGTATTCTCCACATTTGAAGACATAATAGATGTCTCCACATTTGAAGACTATCGACTAAATGGTGAAATCGTGCAATATTCACCACATAATTGAGATTTCATTTTTCCTTGATGTGTTGCAAATATTGTAGTATACCCAACTGAAAAAATGGTTCAAAGTGCTGACAAGAAAAAAATTGAATAAATATCAACAAACCACATGCGAATGGTAATTTCTGAAGGAACTATCGATAGTTACATAGTGGTTAACTAACGTTGCTAATTCATGTTTCAGCAAGGTACTGCGAATCTAGCATGCTTAACGGAAGCCCCAAAAACTCATATTTTTCAGATACACCGTCCTCGGAATAATCACCAACCGCCATCCACCATGGCGTTTAAACGTGATCATACTGACCCAGCGTCTTCCAAAAGAAATGCACATGTTCGACGCAGACAATATATATTTCTGTGGATCTCTCAAACCTAGATATGTTGCGATTATGAACGGAATTGTCCTAATGTTCCTTTTTCAACTAGACATGGCAGTAACCTAGTCTAAAAGTTAAAAAAGGTTTCTTTCTGAACAACCATATGACCGTTAAAACATATAGCCTTTCATCAGTATCAAACTGTTCATTTCGTCTTCGTCTATTACGGGTGAACTTCTCAGTTTTATTTTTTCAACCTACAGTCAGATTTCAATACCAAAATAATCAGTTCGAAAGAAAAGAAAAAAGAAAGGAAAATAATTCGTTTTCATTTTCATTTTTAGGGCTCCGTAATGGAAATTATGGAGGAAAAACTAGAACTCCTAGAGACGGAAAACTACAGGCTGCGCCAGCAAAAGGACGAGCTGACAAGCCTAATAAAACAGCTGGATGAAAGGCTGAACTATGTTGAAGAAAAATGAGTCCAAAGAACACGGACAAACACAGAACCATCTAGGGCGCAATCTGGCACAAGGGCTGAAGGAGTTGAAAAGCCAAAACAGCCTGAGAAAAGCGAGAAAAGAGATGAAATGCGCCAAACCAAGCGGCCACCTGACCCGGACAGCACAACAAACACCGACTCGGAGGAAGACGGGTTTGAATTAGTTGAAAGAGCTAGGCCAAATAGAAAAACAAGAAGCCGTATAGCGCAGGAGAAAGCCGCGAAAGCGGCAAGTCATGATGAAAAATCAAGCGAGGACATGGACACGCTACAGGAAACGGGCGCCATTGAACAAATAGTGCCAACCGTAGAAACTGAAATACCGACCAACATTCCAGAGAGGCCAACCACTGAAGAAGTGGCACCAACCCCAAAAGAAAAAGAAGTGGTACCAACCACAGAACCAGGAAAGCCGCCACCAATAGTCTTACACGTTACCAAGAAATAGAACGAGGTATCAAAAGATCTCGAAGCAAAGAAAATTGGTTACAACAAAGCCAAACTAACGAGAGACGGGATATATTTACATACAAATGATGAGGCGGAATGGCGTAAAGCCACCAGATATCTGGAAGACGAAAAATTGGACTTCCATCAAAAGAGAGATACCTTTACACGCGGTCATCCGCGGAATTCCAGAGAATGAGGAGGCGGAAGACATTGGAAACGACCTGACGAAAGAACGTTTCACGGTGCCTGAAGGTCACTGTATGATATCAAGGCGAAACAGGAAGGTGCTACCACTATTCCTGGTGAAAGTGCCAAAAAAAGAAGTGAAAATATTCGCACTGAGAACGTGCGTAAACCTAATAGAGCGGGCGGGGCCGCAAAGAACAAATAAGTGACTAGTGTCCCAATGTCACAGGTGTCAATTCTTTGGACACTCGCAAAGATGCTGCCATTCAAAGGCACATTGCGTGAAGTGCGGTGAAAACCACGAAAGCAGAGACTGCAAGAAGACAACAGATACGCCAGCGAAGTGCGCGTACTGCTTGGAAGCGCACCCGGCAAGTTATAGAGGTTGTAAAATGTTCCCGAGGCCGAGGACAACAACATGCAACAGGCCCAGAGAAGCCGAAAGACAGAGGCCTAAACAGCAGCCGTCAGCCAAAAAGACGACCCCACAAAAAAGTAATCAGACAGCGGCAACGAACTAATCAAAGTTCTGAGTAAGCTAACGACGGAACAGCAATAGATCGCGCAAGTGGTCTTAGCTGCACTAATTCAAGCACCCGGAAGACAGTAATGCCTGCAGGAATCCCGGAACAACTGAAAATAGGATCGCCGCCCCCTCCCCCCCACGGGGGGCGGCGCTACTAGTATGTCTGGAAGAACTGAACACTGAAGACCAGTCTGCATGGAGAATGCAGAAACAACTCAGGAATGGACCTCGACAGACATGCCCGCCAATACACGGCGAGTAAGGAATCGTATACACTGAACAGGAGAAGGCGGAAGCATTCGCGGACAACTTCGAAAGTCAGAGCAGAGAGAACGACGTCCCGTTCACGGACGAGGTAGACGAAATCGAGAGACAGGTGGAAAGAACGGTAGGAAGAATAAGACAAATAACGGACAATGCGCAACCCCTGGCCCCGACATCTCCCAAAGAAGTGAAAAACATCCTTAGACGGCTATCCACTCCAAAAGCACCAGGCCCGGGTCGAATAACAAACCGGGCACTGAAAGTCCTACCACGCAAGGGTATGGCAGCCATAACCAACATCATAAATGCTATACTCAGACTGCAACACTTCCCGTACCCGTTCAAAGAGGCAACGGTAAACCACATCCCGAAGCCCAAGAAGAACCACCTGTTCCCAGATAAGCATAGGCCAATTAGCTTACTGCCTTCCATAAGCAAAGTGGCGGAGCAGGTCATCTTGAAGAGACTCGAAGATCAAACCAGAGAGCTAGGAATCCTCCCGGATGAACAATTCGGTTTTAGATCAGAACACTCGACAGAGCTACAAGTCCTGAAGGTAGTAGACTTTGCGACCGAAGGCTTCCACCTCGGCAAAGGATACAACACCGGAGCTATCTTCTTTGACGTCTCCAAGACGTTCAACAGAGTATGGCATGACGGACTACTAGCCAAGATGAGCGATTTTGGATACACAAAACCAATGGTAAGATTAATTCAGTCTTTTTAAGCTGACAGGCGATACCGTTACAGAGAAGGAGACGAATTATCATCAATTTGACTACTGGAAGCAGGGGTCCTGCAAGGAGTAGTCCTTTCACCACACCTCTCCGTATACACAGCGGGCGTGCCCAAGCCAGAGAACAACTTTAATAAGTTGGCGCTCTACGCGGACGACACGGCCCTTCTAGAGAGATCTACGAGCCAAGCGCATGTCACGAGATATTTGCAGCAAAAAGCAGACAGATTAGAGGAGTGGCCATCCTGTGGAAGATCAGTATAAACCCTGACAAGAGTTAGGCGATACTATTCACTCGCAGGCTTGTACAACCGGAAGGCAACGTCACCTTCAACGGACAAGAGATTCCATGGACCAACAAAGCGACATACCAGTGGGCCAGGCAGTGCCTCGGGCACTGCCAGAAAGCATGTTCGATAGAATCAGATTACACAACAACCCAGCTCTACGCGATCTACACGATGCGTTAAATATGGATGACCCCAGATTCCGAGAAAGGGACAAACATCGAAGGCCGACCAAACATAATCAACGACCACCCCCGCGAGTCGCCATCAGGCGACTCAGGTAAGCATGAACTAATCAGATAAACTCTCTTTCGCAGAACAACATAAATGGCGTCTTCGTGAAGGATGATGTCATCGCCTTCAGTCACTCACTTGAAGAATATTGAAGAAAATTGGAAACTGAAGTTCTTACATAAAGACGGAGAGAGAATTTATTACCCAGAAAACTACCAAAAGGCGTTTTTACCATCAAATATGATTAGGCTTCAAGAAGATTATCTAATGAAGAAGATTTCAAATCGCAAATAGGAATTTACGGTTGAGAACGCCTATTTCTAACTGGATATTCATAAATTTTCCAAAAAGACATCTGCTTTCACTCTTCATAAATTTACCGGATGAAAGGTGAATATCATTAGATGTCGATAGAAAATACAAAAGTTATTGCAAATTACAATGAGGTATTAATAGCTGATTCTGTTAAACTAATAATTTTTTTCAAATTACAGGTATCGCAGTTGCACGACTGATATTTCAATTATGTATTCACACCAGTTAGTGAAGTATCTGGAATATTTTTCACGAATAATAGAAGATACTTTTTTTGGAAATCGCAATAAATAGACAACCAACAGTGCATTCGTAAATGATATCAGTTGACTGATGTCGTTAATAGGTACTGTAACGAATTCAAGAATCAACTGTCTTAAACAAATTTATTTTTAACAATATTTCACTATCACAACTAATTTATATTCAACACTCAACAACTAACGCTTAATGTATCTTCACTGTTCGAATTCTATATTCAAACGCACGATTCGCTTTCTTAATACAGACTGCCGCTCTGGACTAGAAGAGGCCTTTTTATATCGGCAACGATCGCTCCAGATCTCTCTAGGGGTTTCGGCACTCATCTATACCTTTCGCGGTGGTTCGCAATTAGTCATACGTTTGCTGGCTGAGATATCGATCAGGACCGGCTTCAGATTCGTTACATTGCCCCCTTCTTAAAGACGTTTCGCCCCGAAAAGTCATCCTTGGCCTGTGTCGATACCTACTCGGTCGTGGAAGATGGTTACCGCACACCAAAATCTTGATGCCGCTGGATCTGAAGATCGTTTCCAACATGCTTCTCACAATTCTTCAGTCCAGCCTGTCGAGCCCAGAGACTAATTTCGGGATTGCCAAGTCCGCGAGATTCTGGTCGAGCATCGTGTCCTTTAGTCTAGTAAGACTCCTCCAGACCTCTTCATAGGACGGTTTGTTCCGAGAATGCTTTTTGGTCACCAAGTAGAAAATGTTTCTCCTACCCTTCTTCAACTGTAGCACTCCTCCGACTTCAGGATTCTGTTC